CCCCCAACATCTCTGGGCACTACACGAGCGAAAGCTGGCCACTTACAGGTCGAGGAATGCGGCCGAGACGTCGGCATCTCCAATGCCTGGAGTGTGGCTGGAGCTAACGGGAGACATGCCGGACCATCTGGAGCCGTGGGTGATAGAGAGGGTGGGAGGGGAGGCCTTGGGCTACAGGACTGTGGATGGGGATTTAATAATGATGCCTCTCATCGACCCTGACCCAACTCCAAGCCAAACCCGAATTGTATTCTTTAGACCAAAACAAACACCCCCGCCAGCAGTAAATATCGTATGCAGTTTCATTCTTGTTGAGACAAATCACCAAAGTAATTATATTTCATGGTGTAGTATTAAAATTAAACTCCTTTCTGATCACGAATCAAATGTCAAAAACAAGACAAAACCGACGTTTTGTCCGATCAGCGAGAAAATATAGTGAGCAGTGACAACCAGGCTTCACTGAACTACACAAGATATGAAACCAGCGGTCCGTGGCATAGATGTCAAGTGCGCAGGCGGTGCCACCGGGGTACGAACGGGGGGTGGGGTGGGGAAGGGATGGACAGCACCACCCCCACAGTCTCTCACCCATTTAATTATCTGCACTAAGGGTCCATGCCAACCGCGCGGCGATGCTGCCAGTGATGCAGATATGACAGGAATAGAGAGCACAGAATGAGACGGTATCAATGGGCGTACAGAGAGTGCAGACGAAGAGCTTGACGAAAACAACGGAGGTAAACAGACACACGCACACCAGACGGAGAACAGAACAGGACAGCAGACGCAACTTGGAGTCTGAGCCGGTGACCCGGAAAATATTAATGCAACCGGCACACTTGATTCAGTATACGTCTCGTTATGGCTGTGGTTGCTATTCACGTGCCGCCCACTTTAGACTTGGATACATATATATTTTAAATACAAATAATTTGAAATATTCTGCGAAAGATGAAGCCCTGCATGCCAAAGTTAACGCAGATCTAGCAAGGGCAATGTATGAAACTGATAGTAACTGCACAACACGATGCAGACAAATACCAAGACAGTCGGGAGTAAATTGAACTCGACGATGGAAACGGGCAGATCAAAATCCTCACGGCGACAACGACAAAAAACAAATCAGAACGGATGTGGTGCAAGCGAGATGGCCAGAACACACACAGCTGTCAAACCCGTACGGTTTAACCCCGTATTCTTGTACAGGGAAATTTAGTTTTCAGGTCCATACGGCGAACAGCCGTTTCAATACGGACCAAAAATGTGTCTGTGTTTCTCCCTTGCGATGAAACTTTGTAGGGTGAACGTTGAGATTTATTACGGCACGGGGTGGCCAATAAGGTTTGAATTTGTATGTAATAAAGTAGGCGCTGATAAGAGGTTGACAGGTATGAATACACAAAGGGGGGGACAGAGAACACAGAAGCCTTCTGGCTAGTGCAAATGGTATAAATATGTATGTCGAACTTATTTCGCACTAATCGGAGGTGCGGGGAAGAACAAACTAAACACATAAAATTCGAACGTCCTTTTTTAAAGTGCCTTTAATTATAGGTGCTTTAAAAGCACAACCACACAAACAGCTTACCTCTGACCCCTTTAACTTTGGTGGTCTTAAAATTGATCCGAGGATGGAAAGTCGAGCTTGGCATTGGCTGTGCCCGCAGGGGCCTCAGTGGTAGGGCAGGGAGCCTCGTCTCAGGCGGGGTCACTGGGGAACGGGGCCACGTGGGCACACGTGGTGGCGTCGGTTTATAGAGGGATGGATGTACTGGACTGGCCGCGGTAATGTGGATTTTTTTCAGAGTTGGTTAATGAAGCGTCACTTGAAGATGCACTTTTAAGGAGAAAAGGTGGGGGATTGAAATACAACAGCAGCAGCAGTCGTGATGTGGTTACGGATATTGTGCCAGGCTGGGTGCACTTAGAGGCCAGCATCAAAGGTCTCCCATTTCGGCTTTAATAGACTTGGAGCAAGTGCTGTTAGCGAGCACCTATTAAGGCTGACACGGCATACGAGCGGATGGGTGTCCAGCACCACGCCCGGCCGCCTTTGTCTCCCTCGTGGCTATGTTTACACATCAGACCAGGTACTCATTTGAAGCTGAGTCGATCTAGGGGGCTCAGCTAACCACTGTGCTACCGTTCCCCACAGCTCACCGCTGGAGCGTCACACTCATGCACACACAGGGCCGGATCAAAACTAAAAATTATTTTATTAAAACGATGTTTTAGTTCACCAGGTAAGGCCCACTGAGCTATAGAGCTCTTGTTCAGAAGCCACCTGGGCCACAAATGATAGCTCTACGAAGTGGCTTATGATCGTGTGGAAATGTATGCCAGACAGATAATCTAAACGCGTGTTGTTGATTCTGAACATGGGGGGGGGGGGGGGGGGGGGGAAACCGGAGGACCTGGAGAGAAAAAACCCACACTATGGGGAGAAAAAACACGCAAACTCCAAATATACAGCAAGCGTCAAGGTGTGGATCGATCCCACAACCTCCTGCATACCAGGCGAGGTAGTTAACATCTCCTAGCCACCGTGGCGATCTAGGCGGGAGAGGCCAACGAAATACATCATTAAAAGTCTGACTTGTTTATTCACAATCAAAGTAACGGTAACAGGGATCAATCAATACAAAACCGCACTAACACGGCACCTTCTAATTACGCCTGGCGATGCAACGCTTCCTTGTATTTACACTGCCAATATGAGGAACACGCGTCCCAGAGAAGAAACACGTGGCATGGAGAACGTGCACACGTGGGGGTTTAAGCACATCACTGAAGCTGCTCTGAGCAAAGCCAATGTGGGGCTTGGCCGATGGTCCAAGGCCGTGTTTTTCGCTCTTTTTTAAAGAGGTGTGATGGGGGGCCACTTTTCGCCATCAGCTGTGAGGTCCGCCGACATCATTGTTGGGTTTGTGACACAGCACAACGATGATGGTGGGGTTGGGGGGGGGGTCACGTTAGTGGGGCCGCACTAAAGGCCACCAGGGCCACCAGGGCCCCCCCCCCCGGGCCTCGCAACGTGGCAGCCGAGGAAGAAGCGGGTTGGGGGGGGGGGAAGACGCGGCCGAGAGGACGACCAAGGGGGCCGTCCATAAATGACGTCACGCGATTTTGGACTCCCCCCCAACCCCTCCCCCCTAGGTGCGTGACGTCATTTATGGACGCCGCCCCGCCCCCCACCCCCAAGGCGAAGCTTGTGGCAAAGCCAAAGGTGTCGAGTGTAGCCTTGACTATCGGGGGGCAAGTGCCGTCAGCGAGTGCTGCAGCGCCTCTCTGAAGGGCGCACGAGGGGGTGTGGGCCGGCCGGCCGGATAGAAAACTCGTTTGTCTAGAGAGCTGTTCTTTTTGTTGTTTTATTTGTCGTTCTGTCCACCTCGCGACGCAGCACGGGTTTGTCGACGTACGGTGGGAAAGAAGTTAGACGCAGTGCCAATCGCGTGACACGTCGTGACTTACATCTCTCGGTGGACAGAGGCATCCGCGTCTTATTCTTGGTTCTGTCGGTAAAGTCACGTAGAAGGGAAATGATAAAAATATATATATATTTTTAAATAAAATAATAAAAATAAAATAAAAAAATAAGTGAAATAATAAAAATAAAACAATCTTTTAAAATAAAATGATAAAAAAGAAAACAATATTGTTTTATTAAAACAATATTGTTTTATTTTTATTATTTTATTATTTCCATTCTACGTGACTTTACCGAAAGAACCAAGAATATGAATCCATGCAGTCACCAAAACTTTAAATCGAAATTTAGCATCGTGCCTTGTGTGACCCGCAATTAACTGACCTCTAATTTGTGTTAATTAAATCCTTAAAAAAAAAAACAAGTTTTAGAGAAATAAATGTGTGGGGGGTGGAGGGGGGTGGTGGTCACAAGACAACTGGACCACCTTGTACACGAACCACCACGCACCCACCCAGTGAATGACTGAGAGTCGCGGTCTGTACAAAGGTGAATTGGCACGACACTGCGTGTCGCCCTAACTCAGCCGTTAGAGGTCAAGGCCACACACCACCACTCACAGCAGCAGGCACCGATATCAATCCACTGTTGAATGGGAGAGGGGGGGCTCTCTAATGCTGGGGGGGGGGGTTACTTTGACCATACCTCACCACGCTGGTCAGTGTAGGCATTGGCGAAGGATGGCGGATTAGGCCCGGTTCACATGTAAATTGAGCCGTGTTGGGAATCGAACTCGGATAACCGCGGTTCATGAGGTTGTAGGTCAACAGAGATGGGAGGGGGTTCCTTGACTTTAATCATCAGGCAGTCGACCGGTATTGGTTGAAGAAAGCCCGATTGCTGATGAGCCCCTGAACATCGAAACCGGTCCAGAGTTTTAGTTGCATCGAAACCAATGCTGCCCAATTATGCACTCTCAGGAGGCTGATGGGATGCGTAAACTATATATACTGTACTTCAAATGTTGATTTGGAGGGGCAGATATAGGAAGGCGTTTTTTCTGGTACAGTACAGTAATTCATGCAATGTATATTGCAATGTTAGTGGTAATTCCCCCTCAAGAGGGCAGCCTTGTACGTGTACAGGGTGGCCCAAACGTTAGGGGACATAGGGTTATTGCATTTAATATAACACTGGCATTACAACATTCTAATTTGTTTATTCTTTTAGTTAGTATTTTATCTATTATCATCATACATATTGATTTGTATTCTTCTTCCCGTGGGGTCACTACAAAACCGTTGTCCTCAAACCCCGACGAAGAACCCTGAATGAATTGTGATAAACCGCTTCGTTGAGCTGTCATTTGTGATGGCCAGGTCGCTCCTGTAAACAAGCTCTATAAGAGCTCAGTGGGCCTTAGTTGGTAAAATAAAACGTCTATTTTAGGGGCAAACATTTTTTTATTAATGTTTACAGATTACACCTGTCATCTATACAAAACAAACTACCTAAATGACTTCGAAAAGATCATTCATGCATGGATTAATGTTAATTCGAAGTCAGTTTGAACATTTGTTAAAATGAATTCAATAATTCGATGTGACTTATTAAAATAAATATAACCCCCGTGCCACCCTGTACACCTGAGTTTGATTCCCGGCAACGGCTAACACCAGCTGCAAGTGATAATCTTAACCGGTCTTGGGACTCCCCTTTCACCAACCCACAATGACCGGCATGGTGAAGTATGGTCAAATAACCCCCACGGCCCACACAGCGTGAGGAGGCCCTCGTCCAGCAGTGGTTTGACGGAGGAGTCGTACATTATAAGAGCCACAGATTAATCGACGAAATATTATGTATTCGCTCTCCGATATGTGGGCGAAAAAAATCGATTGACGATTTATGCAAATAATACGCAAATGATGTGATACTGTAAGAATTATGCAAACCTAGCAGAACAAAATGTACAAACGCGACATAAAACGATAAGAATTGATTCCTGAATCGAATTGCAACCAGTACGGGACATCATATTGCCAAGGGTTAAATCGTTATAAGTCTAGTGGTGGCCAGGCTGATATCATTAACTCCCTACTCTTGATAACTCAATTTAATCACAACGCAGAATGTCACTTTATGGGTCTCTAGGTGAGTCTACATGTCTCTGTGTGAGTCGATAAGTACATGTGATTCTATGGGTCCCTATGGGAAACCCATGGGTCTCAATGTGAGTATTGTGGGTCTCTATGTAAGTCTCTGTAATCTGTGGGTCTCTGTGCGAGTCAATGCGATTCTGTCAAGTCTCCGAGTCTATGAATCTTTATGCGAGTCTATGGGTTTACACATCAGTATATGCCAGGGGTGACCACCCTGCAACAGACCAATATCTAAAAAGTACTCATGAGTTCTGCAAAGAGCCAAGTGTATATATTAATGTGTGTATATTGACAGTTTTCGGCACAGCACGGGAGACATTCAACATTCTTTGCAACTGTAAAAGTACGTTCTACGTTATGCCCCTTTGATAGAGCCGTGTGTGGTGGATTAAAGAGCTGCATGCGGCTCGGGAGACGACAATTGGCCACTGCTGGTCTATGCGTTTCTATTTGAGTTTATTGGTCTCTCTGTGATGGCTATATCATGGCTGGTGACAATTATGTTCACAAAACAATGAGTAGGGCTATGTATGTAAAATGGCCTCCCCTCTTCTACGAGTTTCTGTGCTGCCTCCTCTCCACGTGGTGGCCCATCGCTGAACGGCCATCTTTGCGGTGGGCGTGGCCTGCGCGGGCACATCACAATAAGACAGGAAGTGACATCATCAGGAGAGGAAGTGACATCGTGGCAGCAAGTAGTGCAAAAAACGATGGCAGAGTGAAGTTGATGGCGATGAAGGCAGACAATGATGCAAAGCCTGGGAATATTTTAGCCATCGTCCTCCCTCTATATTGTCTGTAGATTATCTGAGTTTTCAATTAACCGTGCAAAAAAACAAACAAAAAATATTTACACGCCATGTGCTGGTTTAATTATACATGTATGTTGAACTTCTTTCGTACCGTACGTAGCCAACTGCGCTAATCGGAGGTGCGGATCTCTACGTAATTATCAGCTGCTCCTCACTCGTTGGGGGTCAGTGATTTTGCCGACGTGACCGCAAACACGTCGACAGGTAATTCCACCAAGAAGCAATAGAGACGAGACATTCTATGTTTTTCATCCCAATTACCCCGGACAATCGACCGTTGTGTAACATGATGGCGATAGCACAATCGGGAGAGCACTGGAGGAAAAAAAGACAGTGTGTGAGAGAGAAATAGCTTGAGAATGACGATCCCTCACTCTTGTCGTGTCCGTGTGGCGCGATGTGGGACTCCGAGAGGGAATTCTCAACACCCCCCTCTTCCTGCTTCTCGGACTCCTCCACAGTTCCTCCCGGCAGCCAATCAGATCCTCTCGTCCAGTTACCGTTGGCAACGGAAAAGGAACTACTTTCTGAAGTAGAGGGATTTTTCCCATCTTTGTGGAGTAATTTGGTCGCGAATGCTGAAATAGGGGTGGAGGGGGCGGAAATGCAATCAGAAGCGAACAAAAATCATCCATATGAATGGATTCTATAATCACTTTCCCACAAGCGCTTCTACTCAAAAGTCATCAATTAGCATTCATAACATTAGCTGTGACATGCAAGACGACATCACACGTCACGGGGGAAGGCGAGGAGTGCGCACGGTGTGTCATGTTATCGCCTTGGCTGAAAAGTTTGATCTCCATTTAGCACTGGATTTTTATATATGAACGGCTGGACAGAGCTAATGTATGTAGGTTGAACTTATTTCTCACTGTACGTAGCTAACCGTGCTAATCTGAGGTGTGGGGGAAGGACAACAAAACACAAAATGCATTTCTAAAGAAATTAGTTTTCAACTTAGATTTAAAAGTGCATAGCTCCAATGGCTTCCTAATATCGGAATTAAGAGCATTCCAGACGGCCGCAGAAGCATAATGCACAAACATTTTAAACCTTTCTTGGAAAGTTAAACAAATATTTGCGTGACTCCCAGTGTCGGTACACCTTGAGTTCAAATCCTGGGTTAAGGGTTAATTCAGCCCATCATCATTGCTCACCGGTCGATAAAACGAGGATCAGCACAAACACTTTGTTGTGAGAAGTCGACGTGTCTCTGTTACAGACACATGCTGATCTCGTTGCCATGGGAATGTGGAATTTCCAACCCAGACTCACCGGAGGAGTCGAGGGGCGGGGTGCGGAAGGTGAGCACGACCTTCGAACTCTTGAGCGACCTCTGACCCCACTCGCTCAGGGCCTGCATTTGAACCACGTAGTCTGAGTCCGGCTTCAGAGGCTGCAGCGTCACGTGCCGTGCCGACTAGTCAGCAGCAGCAGGGGCAGCAGTAGTATTAATACAAGCAGTAACAGTAGCGAGCAGCACCAGCAGTCACAATACAATTGTCTTGAAGATGCTTGATGCAGTTTCAAAAGAAATGTATCTAATTGCTAAACTGGTTCTGAGAATTGTTTTACAACAAACTATTCTACAGCTCACCACGTGCTCCGGTTGGGCGTCCCAGAAATGCGATAACCCTTACATGTCCCCCCTAAGAGGACGTCGAGGATCTCACCCCGTTGATGGCGAGTCGTTGATGCCTCTCGCCCGTTGCCGTGGTGCGGGGCCGCCCGTAGAACAACTTGTAGCGCGCGATTGGTAGATCCGTGTCAGCTGCCGGGTTCCAGGCCAGGTGGGCGGCCAATGAGAGGCCTCCATCGGCAGAACGTCCGAACCACTCCACGTAGGGGGAAGGCGGAGGGGGAGGCGAGGGAGCTGTGGCGATGGAAACACACACACACACACCCACAAGTGGATTTAAGGACATATTTAACACTTTAGGGCAGTGTTCTTCACTCATTTTCAGAGGGAGGGCCACTTTCGCCGATAAAACATCAGTGTGAGAGCCGCCACACATTTGAAACCATTGGGGATTGGACAGCACGATGATGATGGGGTGGTGTTTTTCACTATTTGTCTATTGTCGGGTGCCACACTAAAGGCCACCAATGAAGAACACTGCTCTAGTACGTGGCTGAAAATGTTCAATGCATTTGCTCTGTCCTCCTGTGTGTCTGAAAGATGGGGTCAAGCAAACTCCCAACGTGGTGATCCGAATTGAACAAAAACTTTCGTGTAAAAAGTTGAGTTGTTGTTGTTGCGAGGGACTTACCCGAGAGAAAACCGGCCACACTTATATCAAAGGTTTGCCGAAAACGTGGAGGTGAAAGAGACCAGCGCTAAATGGAGAAGACTTATCGGCCAAAGCAATGAAACCACCAGCCACTGCGCGTGCCTCACCACCCCGTGTAGGTATAACGTTACTATCCGCTAATGAAATATGTACTTCCGCACCCATGCATACTCATATTTCTATTTTTGTTTACATCACAAGTGATGCTGTCATATGTACATAAAACTGCAAAGGGGATTTAAAAATACATCTTTTGTGCTATTGTGTTGTGAGACTTGCACTGTTGTTATGTGACGAGGTCAGACTGTGCGTGTATGCGTGTCTGCACGCGCGACTGTGTGGCTGCATGACCACGCGTGGGTGTGGTAATCCAGTGGTAAGCGGACTGCGCAACGAATCCGGCGACCAGAGTTCGATTCCTGCTCGTGACCATTATCATCGGCAAATATTTAAACCACTCCTGGGCCTCCACGAGGCCGACTCGGTCTTAAATGAGCACCTGGTGCGCTGTGTAAACAACGTGAGCATTGGTGAGGCGGCCGGGCATGCTGTTGTCCACTGGCCCCTCTCGTGTACCGTGCCGGCCTTCATAGGTGCTCGCTAACAGCACTTGCCCCAACAGTCTGTTTCGGCTATACTGGGGATCTTTTTATTTGTTTGTTGTTTATCTAAGACGCAAAAATAATGACCTTTTGACCTCTAACCCTTTAGATCCTCAAGAGGTCAAAATTCTCAACCTTGACCAATTGCGCTTTTAGTGGCTTCAGTGGAGGGTGAAGGGGGTTGTGGAAAATATGCGCGCACACGCACGCGCGCGTGTGTGCACATGCACACGCAGATATACACGAGTACATAGACACACACACGAGTATATATTCATGTACACATATAGAGACAGCCACAGAGACAAAGATCCCCCCCATAGCCTGAACAGACTGTTAGGGCAAGTGCTATTAGCGAGCACCTATGAACACCGAAAAAGCAGACGAGGGGATCGGTGCCCACGCCAGACCGTCTTTGTCTCCCCAGTAGCGATGTTGACACATCACACCAGCTACTCATTTAAGCCTGAGTCGACCTAGGGGAGGCCCGGAACGAGTTCAGATATTCGTCACTGGTGTCGGCCGTGAGTAGGAATCGAACTCGGGCCGCCGGATTGGTAGCGCAGCTCGCTGACCGCTACGCTATTGCTCCCCACACAAAGGCAGATACACACACACACAAATACAGACACGACCACACATGAACACATACACACAGACCTGCACACACACGCGTACACACACAATGAAGATGATGATGATATTGGTGGTGGTGATCCCAGTGATGACGACGACGACGATGAAGATGACGGTGATATTGATGACGACGACACTCTCAACGACGATTAGAAGGAGGTGACAGCGAACAAACAAACGCAGGGACCCCCCCCCCCCTCCAGGTCCGCTCGGGCGCCGAATAAATAGAGGGCACTTGTGCGGCATACAGCGGGAGATTAATCCCTAATGAATGCGGGTTTCCTGGCACGTGAATGCGGCTCTGGGTGCCTCCGGGACGCCGCCGTTACGCTTGAGCAAGCAAAGAAAAGGACATTTGCTCACGTAAAGAACTCTGGGCGTGAAACCAGCGGCGGTGGGGGGAGAGCCTCGACAAATCTCCCTCTCTCTCTCAAGCGCCTTTGAAAATTATCCGCGTTGTTACATAGGGAGAGAGAGACAGCGAGAGAGGAGAGAGAGAGAGGAAGGGAGGAGACGGAGGGTTTTTTCTTCTATCCGCTTGTCCCCCTCTCTTTTCTTCCTCCACAACTCTTCATAAGAAGCCTCAATTCACTGGGGAGGGCGGTTTCAATGGGAGATGTGGACAGGGGAAGAGGTATGGGCGGAGAGCTGCTGAATCTCATTCACTCACTCTATATATCAATGGCACTCTCACTGTATATGTAATGCTAAGTCTATCAGACCCTCACTCACTCTCTTGTGGCAGGCACCAGGTTCTGAAGTGGAGAGACTCCTAACTCCTTGTCACAGTGAGCAGCAATTAATTAACTAAACAAAACTAAACTTACTTTATTTTACCAGCTTAAGGCCCACTGAGCTGTATATGGCTCTTTTTCAGAAAAGACCTGGCCGCCAATGATAGCTCAACAAAAGTGGCTTATCATTTGGAAATTTATAGCAGCCAAAATACATTTAACGCATGTTGATTCTAAATGCAGAGGAAAAATCGGAGGACCTGGAGAGACACACAAACTCCAAATATACAGCAGGCGTCTGGGTCGGGATAAAACCCACAACCTCCTGCGTACCAGGCAAGGAAGTTAACATCTCGCCGCCACAGCACCAATTAGCTGACCAATTAGCAAATGGTCAGCATTTTGTAACATGGGAGGAAGCCATCCCCTAGGCACAGCGTTACGCAGTCACTGAAAATAAATGGTTGCTCAACCGTATGTGTGTTGAACTTCTTTCGCGCCGTACGTAGCCAACCGTGCTCACCGGACGGGGTAAAAAGTCCGCTGCCGAGTTGGAACTGGCCATAAGCACTGCGGCACCAGCCGTAGTCACTCCTCCTCCACTCTCTCCACAACCACCACAATGCTCGCAGAGATTTGACTTTGACGGCACAAAGTATCTAGGCAAGCGGGGCTTTGTTTTAGCGTGGCCAATGGTAAAGCCCCACCCTCTCAATGGCACGCTCCAGGTGAAGCAGCTGTCACAGACCAACACACACACACATGCACACCGGTCAGGGATGGACACACACCAGATATATATAAAACACGTTGACGGACCGACACATGGGTGGACACATTAAACATATGGACACATGTATGGACAGACACACGAACACACACTGCAAGCGGACGCACGGACACGCAAGGACGAGGGATAGACTATGCAAGCCGGCACGGCACACGAGGGGGCGAGTGTCCAGCATCACGCACGGCCGCCTTTGTCTCCCCAGTGGCGACGTTTACGCACCAGGTACTAATTTGAGGCTGAGTCGACCTAGGGGAGGCCCAGGACCATTTCAGAGAATCGCACACACACGTACCAAGCGAGGACCTGTAGGCGGCGCTGGGCGGGGTGAACCCGCGCGTGCCGTGCGCGTTCACAGCCGCCACGCGGAATCGGAACCAGCGAGCGGGGCGCAGGCCCAGCACAAGCACATTCTCCCCCGGGGTCTACGGGCGCACACACACGGTGTACACACACACACACAATGTACACACACACACATACACACAATCTACACACACAGATACACACACACAATGTACACACACAGATACCCACACACACACAATGTACACACACCGATACACCCACACACACAATGTACACACACAGATACACCCACACACACAATGTACACACACAGATACCCACAATGTACACACACAGATACACCCACACACACAATGTACACACACAGATGCACCCACACACAATGTACACACACAGATACACACACACAATGTACACACAGATACACACACACACACAATGTACACACACAGATACACACACACACAATGTACACACACAGGTACACACACACAATGTACACACACAGATACCCCCACACACAATGTACACACACAGATACCCACACACACAATGTACACACACAGATATCCACACACAATGTACACACACAGATACACACACAATGTACACACACAGATACCCCCACACACAATGTGCACACACAGATACACAGACACACAGAATGTACACACACACAATGTACACACACAGACATACGCACAGATACACACACAATGTACACACACACACAATGTACACACACAGATACACACACACACAATGTACACACACAGATACACACACACAATGTACACACACAGATACACACACACTCAATGTACACACACAGATACACAGATACACACACACAATGTACACACACAGATACACACACACACACAATGTACACACACAATGTACACACACAGATACACACACACAATGTACACACACAGATACCCCCACACACAATGTACACACACAGATACCCACACACACAATGTACACACACAGATACCCACACACACAATGTACACACACAGATATCCACACACAATGTACACACACAGATACACACACAATGTACACACACAGATACCCCCACACACAATGTGCACACACAGATACATAGACACACAGAATGTACACACACACAATGTACACACACAGACATACGCATAGATACACACACACAATGTACACAGACACACAATGTACACACACAGATACACACACACAATGTACACACACAGATACACACACACTCAATGTACACACACAGATACACACACACACAATGTACACACAGAGATACACACACACACAATGTACACACACAGATACACACACACAATGTACACACACAGATACACACACACAATGTACACACACAGATACCCCCACACACAATGTACACACACAGATACACACACAATGTACACACACAGATACCCCCACACACAATGTGCACACACAGATACACAGACACACAGAATGTACACACACACAATGTACACACACAGACATACGCACAGATACACACACACAATGTACACACACACACAACAACAACAACAACAACCGCCATTCGCCACTAAGTGGCGGTGACGTCACCACGACGCTTGTGCCAGGCTATGTGCACCCTGAGGCCACGTGAAGTGTCGAACGCCCGCTGGCAGGAGGTCACGGGGCAGACCCAGGTGCCACGGGTCGACTGACTGAGATGACTGGCTGATGCACCACCTGTGCCCCCTACTGTGCCAACCTGCTGTGCTTTAGCCACCCGGCGCTCCGCTCGCTGTTGTGAGCGTCGCTCCTCCGCCCTCCGTTGTTGTTGGAGGGCGACTGCCTCCAACTGCCCAGTAGCATCCTTCACGAGCCTCCTCCACAGAGGCCGATCTTGACACCGCTGGTACCAGTCATCGGCAAGTCCACTCAGCTCCACGTCCTCCTGTACCACATCACTCCATCTCTTCTCTAGCCCGTGCCGCGCCCGCTTAGCCCCCTCAATCCGGCCAAACAAAAGCTGTTTCGGCATGCGGTGGCTGGGCATGCGGGCTACATGACCCAGCCATCCCAGCCTTGCCTGCCGGAGGAGCTCACCGATGGGACCCTGCCCAGATCTTTCAAGGATTTGTGAGCTCCTCACACAATCCAGTCTGGTTAAACCCAGGATGGATCGTAGGCAGGTCAGCCTAAATGTTTCTAACCGGCGAAGATGTTCCATTAGGGGGGTCCACGTTTCGCAAGCGTAGAGAAGGGAGGGAATGACCGTGGCCGAGAAGACCTGAAGCTTAGTGCGGAGCGACAGACCAGGTAGCTTCCACACAGCGTTACGCAACCGATGAAAAGATATTGCCGCTCGACTGATTCGGAGTGAGACCTCTGCTGTTAAACTGGAGCCAGTCATAAGCACACTGCCCAGGTATGGGAAAACTCTCCACTCTCTCCACAACTGCCCCATCACCGATTGGGAGTTGTGGGGGTGGAGTGTCCGATGGTACAAAATACCCAGGCAGGTGCTTAGTTTTGGTGGGGCTGATGGTAAGGCCCCACCTCTTAGTGGCACGCTCCAGTCTCAGCAGCAGCGTCTGCAACTCCTCCTCTGACTGAGCAGCTATTACCAAGTCATCAGCATACATAACGTGGTTGAGCAATAGGGAGCCATCCCTTGACACACACACAATGTACACACACAGATACACACACACAATGTACACACACAGATACACACACAAACAATGTACACACACAATATACACACACACACAATGTACACACACAGACATACACACAGATACACACACAATGTACACACACAGACATACACACAGATACACACACACACAATGTACACACACACACACAATGTACACACACAGATACACACACACACAATGTATACACACAGATCCACACACATTGAAATGATTGTGGTGTTGTCACCACGGCGCTAGTGTAGTTTGAAGTGCCATGGTTTGACACACACACATTGGTAAACACACACACACGGGAACACACAGGTACTCACACATACAAACATCACCCGTATATCCTAAACATATTTTGGGGCAAGTGCTGTTTGCGAGCACCTCTGAAGGCCGGCACGGCACATGAGAGAATGGGTTCATATCGCACCGCGCTAACCGCTACACTACCGCTTCCCACACACAGGCACACACAGTCATCATTATCATCAACATCGTCATCATGCCCTGCCCCCGTCTCCTCCCCCCATCTGTCACCATGGCAACTGTCCTCCACGGCGATGGGGGACCTGTCCCGTGACCCTGCTGTTGTGCCTGCAGCACGTGCAGCGCTGTCGCCACGGAGACGCGAGCGGGTGAGGACCACGAGACGAGGAGAGAGACGCCCTTGGCGTCTCCGTCCGGGGACTCCCGCAGAGACAGCGAGGGGCGGGGACGCAGGGGGACGCCTGTGGGGGGGGGGAACCCGGCGGAGGGGAGACTCGGAGAGTTATATGGGAAGATACACGGGGAGTTAAACGGGAGACACGGGGAGTTAAAGGGGAGACACGGGAGCGACGCGGGGGAGTCATGCAGGAGGCACGGGGAAGTTATGGAGATGCGCGGGGAGATGGAGATGCATAGCAAGACACGGGGAGTAACCGGGGGATGCGTTTGGGGACAGGCGGAGCGTCACGCACTGACTTTTCGGTTGTGAGGGTGGAATATCACAGTGGCCGACTGCCGTGACTCAAGAGGGGGACCACACCGATTAGCACGGTTGGTGACGTACGCTGCGAAAGAAGTTCAACATACATCACGTGGAAAGTGAAAGCAGCTAATTACTCAACCTCACCTTTCCAAATGTGGAGGGAAAAACTGGAGGACCTGGAGGAAATTCCACATGGCCACGGGGAGAGAGTGAACATGCAAACTCCAAATACACAGCAGGCATCAGGGTTGGGAGCGAACTCCTGCATACCAGGCGAGGTAGTCAACATCTCCTAGCCACCGTGATGATGATGAGAGACACGCAAACTCCAAATCTACAGCAGCAGGCGTCGTCAGGCTCCAGATTGAACCCACGACCTCCTGCATACCAGGCGAGGTAGTTAACATCTCCTAGCCACCGTGATGATGATGAGAGAGACGCAAACTCCAAAATCTACAGCAGCAGCAGCAGCAGGCATCGTCAGGCTCCAGATCGAACCCACGACCTCCTGCATACAAGGCGAGGGAGTCAACATCTCGCTACCGTGGCACCCCTGCTGCTGCGTTGGCAGCGGCAGCAATTTACACCAAACAAACAAACACACCGTGGCTTTAAAATGAAAAATATATAACGGGTGATGTCTCTCGGGCGATGGCCCCTTCTTCATTCCACATGCACGAGCAGGCACACTGCCTCCGCCACACCGCTCAACACACTCATCGAGCAGCGTCACGTGTGTATATGCACGCATGTTGAACATCTTGCACACTGTGCGTAGCCAACCGTGCTGATCGGGAGGTGCGGTGCTAATAGGAGGTGACAGGGGAAACGAGGAAACGGAGAGAGATTCAAGATAGCAATGGGGAGACACGAAGAGTTGCACACAGGGGTGCACAGGGAGACATGGGGGTGTACGGGGAGACACGGGGGTGCACAGGGACACACGGGTGTACGGGGAGACACGGGGGTGCACAGGAAGATGCGGGGTGCATACGGAGACATGGGGGTGCACGGGGAGACACGGGGGTGTGCGGGGAGGGAGCAAGCAGGCCCCTCACACCTGCGTAGAGGCCCCTGGGCGCCTGGCAGGTCCGGCCGCAGCCGTTGGGGCAGCACTTCCTCGGAGCCGGGCAGTCGGCATCGCTACGGCAACCGGCGACGCAGGCGGCGGCGAAACCGCGAGCGCGAGCGGGAGGGGCACACGAGCCGGGCCGCGCCGAGGAGGAGGAGGAGAGGAGCGAGTGAGCGAACTCGCAGCTCGCAGAGCACTCGTAGCGGCTCTGGGAGATACACAGACAAAGATCCCCCAAATATACTGAACAGACTGTTGGGGCAAGTGCTGTTAGCGAGCACCTATGAAGGCCGGCACGGCACACGAAGGGATAGGTGGCCAACACCACGCTCGACCGCCTTTGACTCCCTCGTGATGATGCTTACACACCACACTAGGTACTCATTTCAGACTGAGTCGACCTAGGAGAAGCACGGACACACACTCGTAGCGAGCCTGGGAGACACGGACACACACGGACAACACTCGTAGCGAGCCTGGGAGAAACACACAGGCAAGCACATGGCTCTCATAGCGGCACTCAGACACGCAACAAATACCCAGGCATGTGCTTGTTTAAGTGAGGCTTGTGGTAAGGCACCACGCCTTATTGGCACGCTCCAGGTTCAGTAGGAGAGTCTCCAACTCAATTACCAGATCATCAGCATAACAATGTTGATCATCCCATAACCTTACCCAGGGCATCGATCGGCCTCCCATTTCATCTGTGCCAGATAGAAATTCCTCTGGTACGGTCATGGAAAGCTTCTAAAACTACGTGGTCATAAAATGGTAAATAGTGTAGGGGCCAGAGGACATATACCACACCCCAAGGTGAATAGGGAATGGCTCCGATTTCCAGCCATGCAGCTATACACAGACCTGCCCACCATCATGATAGTCCTTAATGATTGTGAACAGGTCAGGGATGCTGAAAGTATGAAAAATAATCCAAAGCTCTGGCCTATTGATGGTATTATAGGCCTTGACCAGGTCACAAAAGCAGAGATGTAGGTCCTACTGAAATTCCCTAAACCTCTGCTGTAAAACGAAACGATTTTTATTTGACCAGGTAAGGTCCACTGAGCTACATAGCTCTTTTTCAGAAGTGACTTTGCCACAAATGATAGCTCAACGAAGTGGCTTATCATGTTTCAGTTTCTTTATTTTGGTATAGCCCTGTGAGCCATTCGGCTCTTGAATCGGGTGCAACCGCAACAAACAAAAAAACTAAAACACGAACAAGAAAAACATCTTAAAGTGACTATGTGACTGCAAACAGAAAATCCATGAAAAAAAACTGCAAAATATTCCTGAAAAAAGCACTGCACACCAACGCTGTGTGCAAAAAATCCCAGTGGGATGCAAGTCAAACAACAACAACAAGAAAACTTAGATTATGTGGAAATGTAACGCAGCCAAATATTCTAAACGCGTGACGTCGATTCTAAATGTGGATGGAACAACCGGAGGACCCGGAGAAAAATCAACGCAACCATGGGGAGAGAGACACCAAATATACAGCAGGTCGGGATCGAACCCAAGACCTCCTGTATACCAGACAAGGCAGTTAACATCTCGCCACCGTAGGACTGACCGAGTCTGAAACCGCATTGGCACTCTACAAGCTTCTCCTCAGCATGCCTGGCAAGGAGATGCCGAAGTAATCCTTGCCAGGGACCTCTCCTGGCACACTCAAGAGATGCCCCAGTAGTTGTTACACAATCAGTGCGATCCCCCTTCTTATGAACCAGAATACCTTGACGAGCTCGTCAAGGAGCGTAAGCCATCTCACGAGAACCGCTTTTGCCTGTAGCCATCGAACAAAGACGGTCACTGCATCGCGCCCTCTCAGATCCGCTTCTGTGGCCATCTCGAACGCCCTTCCTTCTGATATTAGGAAGCCACTAGAGCTATGCACTTTTAAATCATCATCTAGATTGAAAACACATTTCTTAGGACTTGCTTTTTATGTTTAGTTTGTCGTCCTTCCCCTGCACCGCCGATTGGCATGGTAGGCTATGTACGGCGCGAAAGAAGTTCGACATGCATACAAAGGGGGACCCCCAGCAGGTGCCATCCTTCCAATCCTGTGAGGTGGATGGATCGTGACATCTCATGGCCGTGAGGGGCGGCGACGGTGTGTGGAGGCCTTCGTCCAGCAGTTGATAGATCATGGCTGATTATGACGATGATGATTACCTCGCATATCTTGTGACAGGAGGTGGAGTTTGTGTCCCATGATGGCTGGCAGGGTTGCATGCACTGCCAAGACACACAGGCAACGCTGCTGTTAAAACACACACATGCATTTTCAAGATTTTTTTTCTTCTAAATATTACACCGCAAATTACTCAATTAAAATATACAGAGCCGTCATCGCTCCCCCCCCTACCCACCCCCCTACCGTGAGAAACTTGGTAGGACCCTCCTGAAAAGGAGTCATGGGACTTAGCTTTTCTGCTGGGAAAACTGTAATAAAATAATATACTGTACAGATGTCCGTGTAACCTACACCGGCTGTGGGGGCAAGCGCTGCTAGGGGTGGGTGGTCAGCACGAAGCCCAGCCGCCTTTGTCTGCCCACAGCGCTAATGTTTACACACCACACCAGGTACTCATTTGAGGCCGAGTCGACCTGGGGGGGGGCCGAGAATCGTTAAAAATATTCAGAGCAAACCATCCGACTTCCACACAGTCAGGTATATCGAGGTATGCTGACACAAAGTTAAAGATCTCCCGTAGAACCTCAACAGACTGTTGGGGCAAGTGCTGTTAGTGAGTAGCACTGATTAAGGCAGGCAGGGCAACACGAGGGTGTGGGTGGCCAACACCACGCTCGACCGTGGTGTGATGTTCACCACACCAGGTACTCATTTGAGGCTGAGTCGACCTCAGGGAAGCCCAGGACCGGCTTCGGATAATCGTCACCGATGTCGGCCATAAACAAGAATCGAACGCGGGTCGCCGGGTTTGTAGCTCAGCGCGTTAACCGCTGTCCACCGCTCCCCACACACACGCACACACACACGCGCACACACACACACGCACACACACGCACACTTTCTCACACACGCCTCTCCCCCCCCACACCACCCACCTCACAAACACTGAGCGTCACAGCCCGTGACTTAATGCAGCCCGTGACCAATGGGGCCGTGACTAATTGGAGCTGTGACTAATGACGCGCGACCGCCCCAGCTCGAGTGTGAGAGCGTGTGCGTGCTCGTGAGGGCTATTGGGAGCGGTGGCGCAGCGGTTAGCGCTACGCTGCGCTACGAACCCGGCGACCCGAGTTCGATTCCCGCTCACGGCCAACAACAAGTGACGATTATCTGAACCGGTCCTGGACCTTCCCTAGGTCTACCATGCCTCAAATGAGTACCTGGTGCGGTGTTTAAACACCGGCACTGTGGGAGACAAAGGTGGGCAGGACGTGGTGCTGATCTCACCACCCCCTCATGCGACGTTTCAGTCACTTACAGTTCTTGCCCCAATAGTCTACGTATGTGATGGTGATGATGGGATGCGGTTGTGGTGATGGCATGATGTTGTGATGGTGATGATGAGGTTATGATGAGGTTGTGGTGATAGTGGTGATGTTATGATGAAGAGGTCTTGGTGATGATGGGACGAGTTTGTGATGATGTTGTGGTGATGATGGGATGATGTGGTGGTGATGATGGGATGATGTGGTAGTGATAGTGATGTGATGATGAGGTCTTGGTGATAGTGATGATGTTATGATGAAGAGGTCTTGGTGATGATGGGACGAGTTTGTGATGATGTTGTGGTGATGATGTGATGATGAGGTTGTGGCGACGGTGATGCTGTAACAATATTGTGGCGATGGCGATGTTACCTGCTGACATCGTCTGTTTGCTTGACACCAAGACATGACCCGTGGGTCCTACACAGACCAGGAAAGTCACCACCATCATGATCCACACTCACCATCATGATCCACACTCAACATCATCATCAGGATCACCACCACCACCATCATGATCCACACTCAACATCACCATCAGGATCACCACCACCACCATCATGATCCACACTCACCATCATGATCCACACTCAACATCATCATCAGGATCACCACCACCATCATGATCCACACTCAACATCATCATCAGGATCACCACCACCACCATCATGATCCACACTCAACATCACCATCAGGATCACCACCATCATCATTCACACTCAACATCACCATCAGGATCACCATCGCCACCACCACCATCAGGATCCACACTCAACATCACCATCAGGCTCACCATCGCCACCACCACCATCATGATCCACACTCAACATCACCATCAGGATCACCACCACCACCATCATGATCCACACTCAACATCATCATCAGGATCGCCACCACCACCATCATCATCCACACTCAACATCACCATCAGGATCACCATCGCCACCACCATCATGATCATCCACACTCAACATCACCATCAGGATCACCATCGCCACCACCATCATGATCCACACTCAACATCACCATCAGGACCACCATCGCCACCACCACCATCATCATCCACACTCAACATCACCATCAGGATCACCATCGCCACCACCACCATCATCATCCACACTCAACATCACCATCAGGATCACCAATATCATCATAATCAATAAAACCATCATCACTCATCATAACATATTACCAATATCGTCGATCATCATTGACTACAAGTGTCATCATCATCATCATCCACCATTGCTGATCATCTTCAGCAAGAGCAACAACAACAGCAGCAGAATCATCATCAGCAGCAGCAGGAATAGCAATCGTCAACAGCATGATGATCGTCAGCAGTGGAAGCATCACGCGCATCATCCATCATCGTCACATTCATCGCTTCCCAGACGACGGGGCTGAAGGAAAGCTCTGACCCTTGACCTCTAACCCCTGACCATCGTGTCTGTGGTCCAACCCCCTGAGACTACTAAACCACTTCCATCAGCATCATCATCAGCAGCAGCATTAGGATCTTCACATTCTCTCCATCGCCAGGTCCACTGAATAAGCACGCTTGGCTACGTATTGATGCGAAAACAGGTCCCTGCAGGGTGGGCTGGTAGGAACATTGGAATTTTTCACTTCGTTAAAGTATTGAAAGGGGACGGACGGACGGACACATTAATCTATTGCAGGCTGGTACACTCAGTTTACAACTTCGTTCCTACCAGTATAAGTTCAACATATTATACACATACATAAAGCCCAGCATCAGTATTAACAGGAGCAGAATAAGATTCAGAAGCAGTAGCATCAGCGTCACCAGGATCATCATTAACAGCAGCAAAATCGAATTATCGCTATCATCAGCATCATCATCTTCTTCGGCATTATCATCAGAATCAGCAGGTTCACCAAAATCGTCGTCATCATCAGTACATCAAAATCATCAGCCCCAATAGCAACACCTCAATCATCATCATCATCAACGCGGTTGGCTATGTACGGTGCGAAAGAAGTTCAGCATGCATACAACATCAACAACGAACACAAGTATCATCACCATCAGCGGCAGCGGCAGCAACCTATTCAAGTCATCAGCATATCACGATCATTGTGACCACCACCATGATCATCGTCACCGCCTTCCCATCTCTGCCGTCACCCAGGAGACAATGCCCTTGGATAAAAGCCCAATTAGGTGCCGCTCTCTTGCCCAGTGGTGGAAATTCCCCATTACTGTGACGGGGGCCAGTTCATCCAAAGCGATACCACTGGTAACTTCCCTCGCAATGGTACTTATAATTATCTGGAGAACGGAGGGGGGGGGGGGGATAGTAATAACGACACGAGTGTTTATCACGCTGATCATCTCACCCTCATCACATCTCCCCCCACCACCTTCCTACCCCCTCACCCCACGTTCTTATCACAACAAAGATCCCCCGTATCACCTTAACAGACTGTTGGGGCAAGTGTTGTTAGCGAGGGGGTGGGTGGCCAGCACCACGCCGAGCCGCCTTTGTCTCCCGAGTGGCGATGTTTACACACCGCACCGGGTGACTCATTTATGGCTGAGTCGACCTAGAGGAGTGCCAGGGCCGATTCAGATAATCGTCACTGGTGTTGGTGGCCGTGTCCGGGAATCGAACTCAGGTGGCCGGGTTCGTGGCGTAGCGCGCTAAGCGCTGCCCCACCGCTCCCCGCCCTCAACTCCCTCACCCACCACCACCCCCCTCACCTCCACCCTCGCACCTCGATCCCTCATCCTAACCCCCTCACCCAACCACTTCTCATCCTCACCACCTCTTCCCTGGCCACCGTGGCGTGGCTAGGAGATGTTAACTACCTCGCCTGGTGTACAGGAGGTCGTGGGATCGATCCCGACCCTGACGCCTGCTGCTGTAGATTTAGAGTTTGCGTCTCTCTCTCTCATCATTATCAAGGTGGCTAGGAGATGTTAACTACCTCGCCTGGTGTACAGGAGGTCGTGGGATCAATCCCGACCCTGACGCCTGCTGTAGATTTAGAGTTTGCGTGTGTCTCTCTCTCATTATTTGGAGTTTGCGTGTCTCTCTCCCGGTGGCGGCTGCGTCTGGGCTATTTGGCTGCTACAACATTTCCACGCGACTTGGTGTTGCGCTTTAATTTGTGGGCCAGGTCGCTTCTGAAACAGGCCGAGCTATTGTGAGAAGTTTTCCCCCTTTTTTTCTGGCAACAAAACAGGTGTGTTAAGACGTTAAAACACCAAACTGAAACCCTTTACAAGGAATCATGTCTGCATTAACCACAATACTTAACCACAATACATATATTGTGGTTAATATCTGTTTTGTTGCCAGAAAAAAAAGGGGAAAACCTCTTCTCGTATTTTAATACTGATGTAGACCAAGCTATTATTAGCTCAGTGGGCCTTACCTGGTAAAATAAAAAGAAACGTTTATGGGTGAATAATAATAGTTGAGTTCCTCACGTCCATCATCTCACCCCGACACCGTCATCCTCTAATATATATTCACCCCTGCACCCTCTCACCCCCTCCATCCTTATCCCCAGTCCTTCATCATCACGTGGACTTCCTCACCATCACCTCCTCCTCACCCTATGCCCTCTGCGTCTCAGCCCGGCTACTCACTCGCCCTCGAAGCCCCTCGCTTCCATTTCCTCACCGCCTCCCTCATTCTTACATCTACCCTCTCACCCCACTCACCCCCATCACCTCCTCACCCTGAACTTCCTCACCCCATGCACCTTCCCAGTCTCACCTCCTCCCTTTCACCTCACCCCTTCGTCCTTACCTCCCCATTCTCCAATCCACCACCTCGTCGTCGTCGTCGTCACATCTCCACCCCCCTCACCCCCCACACGCACGGCAAACTCTCCCCCTCACCCATAGCACCACCCTCACCCAATCACCCCTCTCACCCATAGCACCACCCTCACCCATAGCACCCCCCTCACCCATAGCACCACCCTCACCCATAGCACCACCCTCACCCATAGCACCACCCTCACCCATAGCACCACCCTCACCCAATCACCCCTCTCACCCATAGCACCACCCTCACCCATAGCACCACCCTCACCCATAGCACCCCCCTCACCCATAGCACCACCCTCACCCATAGCACCCCCCTCACCCATAGCACCACCCTCACCCATAGCACCCCCCTCACCCATAGCACCCCTCTCACCCATAGCACCACCCTCACCCATAGCACCCCCCTCACCCAATCACCCCCCTCACCCATAGCACCCCCCTCACCCATAGCACCACCCTCACCCATAGCACCATCCTCACCCAATCACCCCCCTCACCCATAGCACCACCCTCACCCATAGCACCACCCTCACCCAATCACCCCTCTCACCCATAGCACCACCCTCACCCATAGCACCACCCTCACCCAATCACCCCTCTCACCCATAGCACCACCCTCACCCATAGCACCCCTCTCACCCATAGCACCCCCCTCACCCATAGCACCACCCTCACCCATAGCACCACCCTCACCCATAGCACCACCCTCACCCATAGCACCCCCCTCACCCATAGCACCACCCTCACCCATAGCACCCCTCTCACCCATAGCACCACCCTCACCCATAGCACCACCCTCACCCATAGCACCACCCTCACCCAATCACCCCTCTAACCCATAGCACCACCCTCACCCATAGCACCCCCCTCACCCATAGCACCACCCTCACCCATAGCACCACCCTCACCCATAGCACCACCCTCACCCATAGCACCACCCTCACCCATAGCACCACCCTCACCCAATCACCCCTCTCACCCATAGCACCACCCTCACCCATAGCACCACCCTCACCCATAGCACCCCCCTCACCCATAGCACCACCCTCACCCATAGCACCCCCCTCACCCAATCACCCCCCTCACCCATAGCACCCCCCTCACCCATAGCACCACCCTCACCCATAGCACCCCCCTCACCCATAGCACCATCCTCACCCAATCACCCCCCTCACCCATAGCACCACCCTCACCCATAGCACCCCCCTCACCCATAGCACCCCTCTCACCCATAGCACCACCCTCACCCATAGCACCACCCTCACCCATAGCACCCCCCTCACCCATAGCACCCCTCTCACCCATAGCACCACCCTCACCCATAGCACCACCCTCACCCATAGCACCACCCTCACCCATAGCACCCCCCTCACCCATAGCACCACCCTCACCCATAGCACCCCCCTCACCCATAGCACCACCCTCACCCATAGCACCCCCCTCACCCATAGCACCCCTCTCACCCATAGCACCACCCTCACCCATAGCACCACCCTCACCCAATCACCCCCCTCACCCATAGCACCCCCCTCACCCATAGCACCACCCTCACCCATAGCACCATCCTCACCCAATCACCCCCCTCACCCATAGCACCACCCTCACCCATAGCACCACCCTCACCCAATCACCCCTCTCACCCATAGCACCACCCTCACCCATAGCACCACCCTCACCCATAGCACCACCCTCACCCATAGCACCCCCCTCACCCATAGCACCACCCTCACCCATAGCACCCCTCTCACCCATAGCACCACCCTCACCCATAGCACCACCCTCACCCAATCACCCCTCTAACCCATAGCACCACCGTCACCCATAGCACCCCCCTCACCCATAGCACCACCCTCACCCATAGCACCACCCTCACCCATAGCACCACCCTCACCCATAGCACCACCCTCACCCAATCACCCCTCTCACCCATAGCACCACCCTCACCCATAGCACCACCCTCACCCATAGCACCCCCCTCACCCATAGCACCACCCTCACCCATAGCACCCCCCTCACCCAATCACCCTCCTCACCCATAGCACCCCCCTCACCCATAGCACCACCCTCACCCATAGCACCCCCCTCACCCATAGCACCATCCTCACCCAATCACCCCCCTCACCCATAGCACCACCCTCACCCATAGCACCCCCCTCACCCATAGCACCCCTCTCACCCATAGCACCACCCTCACCCATAGCACCACCCTCACCCATAGCACCCCCCTCACCCATAGCACCCCTCTCACCCATAGCACCACCCTCACCCATAGCACCACCCTCACCCATAGCACCACCCTCACCCATAGCACCACCCTCACCCATAGCACCCCTCTCACCCATAGCACCCCTCTCACTCATAGCACCACCCTCACCCATAGCACCCCTCTCACTCATAGCACCCCCCTCACCCATAGCACCACCCTCACCCATTGCACCCCTCTCACCCATAGCACCACCCTCACCCATAGCACCACCCTCACCCATAGCACCACCCTCACCCATAGCACCACCCTCACCCATAGCACCACCCTCACCCATAGCACCACCCTCACCCATAGCACCACCCTCACCCATAGCACCCCTCTCACCCATAGCACCCCTCTCACTCATAGCACCACCCTCACCCATAGCACCCCTCTCACTCATAGCACCCCCCTCACCCATAGCACCACCCTCACCCATTGCACCCCTCTCACCCATAGCACCCCCCTCACCCATAGCACCACCCTCACCCATAGCACCACCCTCACCCATAGCACCACCCTCACCCATAGCACCACCCTCACCCAATCACCCCTCTCACCCAATCAATCACCCCCCTGCCAAAACCCTCATCCGCCTCACCCCACCCACGACCCCCTCGACCCCCGCAACCCCCCCCCCCTCACCTGCAGGTCTCCTGCGAAGGCCGCCACGAGTCGCGCCGTGTGGAGCGAGAGGCACCGCGCCGAGCAGCGCGCCTCGCGGACCCCGGGGTCTGGGTCCCCGGGGTCCCCCAGGCCCTCCGGATCCCCGGTGTCCCCCATCAGCCGCCCGCGACCCCTCGGGGGTCCCTGTGCTGCCCCCGACTCCGCTGCCCACGCCAGTGTCGCCAGCACTGCAAGCAGCGCTGCCCGCATGCTTGGCGGATTGATGGGGCTGCTGCTGATGATGAGAATGATGTTGCCGATCGTGGTGGTTGATGGTGATGTTGCAGAGGATGCTGACGATGATGTTGCTGTTGCTGCTGCTGGTGATATTTCTGACTTATGTTGCTGGTGGTAGCAATGTTGCCGATTTTGCTGGTGATGATGATGCCGTTCCTATTGTTGCTAATGACGCAGATGCAGCTGCCGAAGCTGCTGTCGATGACAACGCTCGCGATGCTGCTGCTGCTCCTGCAAGCAGCTGTTGATGCTGCAGTCTCGACTCCACGTGCGCGCTCCAATCTCAGAGAGATTGAGGGGAGGGGAAGGGGGGTTGGGCCGAGACGACGCGTTCCGATTGGCCAAAAGTAAGCTCCGCGGGTAGGATTCCCGTGCTGATTGGCCATAGCGAAGGGTGGGGGGGCGTGGTGTCGTGTGTGTGGGGGGAGATGGGGGGGGGGTTGGGACCTCGTTCTTGTGATTGGTCGAGATTACGATAAGGGAGGCGTGGTTTCTGTCCACAAGCTCTGTGGGAGGAGCCAGTGTTAGGGGCGGGGCCGTGCTTGCTTCAACCCCGGAAGCCACGAGGTTTGCCCGTGGATCTCTCCTCTCTGTGGGGGCAGTCAGCAGAGGGCAGTACAGCAAATTGCATTGTTCTCCAGGACTGCGCTCTGCCACCCAACGTCGACTCTGCAGCGCCCTTTGACCTAAGTGAAGTATGGTCAAAATAACTCCTACGATCCACACGGCGTAGAGAGGGGACCCTCATCCGGCAATGCATCGACATACAGGGCTGTACTGCAGATGTACGTGAAAGTAAATGACAGTCGCTTAAGCAGATATTTATTGTGAGAGTTTTTAAATGTCCCATTTGTGCGGAAACCCGATGCACAATTAGAAAATAAAAAAAACTCTCCAGTGCGCGACTGTGGTCATCCAGAACAGACCGTAGTACATGACACAAATGCCCCGATCCACAAATACGAAAAAGACTTTACTGCGACCCACTCCGTTACTCCTGAAGCGGTTATCTGGCTTGACCACCTGAATATGAAATTGTAGTTGTTGCTCTGCATCGACATCGGTCACACGAAAGAAGACGATTGTGAATTGAGGCCGCTTGAATGAACATCTCCAGGAAAGCCGTTCTCATTAACAGACCTCAATAAAGTATATAACTTTTAATCTCTTTAAAAATAAATCGATCTTGATTAACGTGAAATTAAATTCTCTCCACCTGAAGACCACGATCGAAACGTCGTGAGTTTTTCGCTTTAATTTTGTTTTCTATCTACGTGACTTTACCGAAAGAACCAAGAATATGAATTCCAACAGTCACGAAAGTTGTAAGTCTAAATCTATGAACATAACTTTCTATGGCAGGGTGGGTGGAGGAGTTCTGCTCACGGTGTGGATACGTGCTCACTTCAAGGAATTTCAGAAGTAACTCTACGGTATCCACTTCCGTGGTTGGGCCATTCCTATTCACGAAGGGATAGGCAGTCAGCACCGCTCTGCCAGTTCCGCATGGGTAACGACTAGCTTCTGACGACGCAATTCCCGACAAGCAATCGAGATACTGTATACCATTGGCAAAACGTGTATTTTTGGAGACACATTAACAAACAAAAATGTCATCCGTTTTTCTTTTCCAAGCCTCTCTTTATTCGTTAAAATTGTACACAATCACGGCTCGTCCACCAGGCGAAAGACCACTGGATGAGACGCCAACCCCCACCACCCCCACATACAATGCACTGCGTGCTTCGGTACACGTGACAGCACCGCGCTACCCACACACATTCTCTTTGCTCCATCCAACAAAACCTTACAAAATACAAAACCAACGACGAGACTTGTAACGAACCTTCGGCTATAATCGTTTAAAAAATATAATGTATGTGATTTCATAATATACGCTACATCTAAACTACCGCGTAAAAAAAAAATATTACGATAAGGGGAAAAAAAGAACGACGTTGTGAACACTGATTTTTACTGGTTGGGTTTCTTTAAAAAAATCGATAACATTAATTTCCCATTTGCTCTAAGTGGCGTTAGCGGTCAAATGTTTAAAAAGCGGCTCCCCCCCCCCCAACCTATAACGAGCGTTGGGCAACACTTATGTGCGTGTCGACAGCCGATGGTGGAAATTCCACAATTGCATGGCAAGGGAGCAAGCCAAAATGTATGGCGACCCTCCCCAGCCCCCCTCCCCCCCATAGACTTCCCCACACGTGGCAACATAAATTTTATATTCACCCTGGATGGACGAAAACGGGCCGAGTTGCCATCGCCAAGTTGGGATTTTGCACACCTCGTGAAATTTTTACCATCGCCCGTGCCGACTCGATATTGCGAGGAATGGAATGTGAAATTGCTAAGATTTTTGGGAAGAAATTGGCAAACGCGCGGAATATTGAGAATATTTCTACAGCGAACTATGGCACCGGAGGTGAAACTTATCAAAATCTGATACAATGTTTACATGCCGTGAATACGTTTGTCATTGGATCGTCAGCCAATCACGGTTCAGAGATCCGTTTCTTAAAGCGACCACGATTCTTTACAGGGGATAATCAAGATGTCTGCTCTGGTAGAGTTTTCATAATTCTTTGTAAAATCTTCTCTCCTCTTGTGTGCGTTTTCTCCCTCGCACAAACACTTCACAAGCGACTAAACGTCCCAAACGCAGAGCCCTTTCCTGAAAGAAGAGGCTCGAGACTCAGGCTTTGCTGGATAAGTAAAATTATTGCTATTGATTCTGAGCAGAAGTCACTTGAATTACCAGATTGCTATAGAGTGAATGGACTTAAATATCTCAATGGCAGTGAATGGGCCCTTGAATTAAGAGATCTCTATGCGAGTAAAGGCTATAAGGAGATCAATCACACATTCGGCAAAGGACCGGTGCGCCAAACGTAACTACTGGACAGCATTCGCAAAAATTTATTTTACTGCCATGTAGAACTTCGTTCGCACCGTAAGTAGCCAACCGTGCTAATCAAATTATTTGTTTGATACACGTTATCGCGGGAGCGACGCAAACCTTCAGAGGGTCGCAGTCTGCTTCGAATGTCATCCGCCAACTGAAGTGAGCGCAATTCACTGGAGTTTGCACATCAAGACACGGCAACGTGTCCAAATGGTGACAGTCGTCTCCTCCGAACTAAGCTCTCAAAACAGAGTAGACCCGGCCGTAGATGCAACGGTGAAATTTCTAACAAAGTCGAACCATCGGATGCCAAGAAAGCCATCTTTGGCATTGCACGTGGAAGGACTGCGGCCGATGCAAATCCAGCAGATGCTCTGCAAATGTTGTGGTTTTAAAAAATTCACCTGATCAAACCAGTTCCCCATCCACTGAAAGGCTGTAAACACAGCTCATAAGAATAACGGTTCTGTTGGAAATTGGCACAACAAAGGTCCCTGCAATCGACATCATATAAAGGTTACAGAGGATTTAGTGTTTCAATATTCACGTAACATCGGTCAGCTAAGAATGTAGTGTTTAATGTTCATAATGTAATGAATATAGTGTTATTAACGGACCCTAATTTATTAGCGTAACGTTGGGTCATCAAAGGCACCACCCCACTGCAGAAACCTTGATTTTCTAGCTTCTTAAAAATTCCGAGGAGCGTTTCAGTAATAATACGTTTACGAGCAACAACGTGACAAACAAAAAAGAATAAAATTTCAAAGAAAGTTAAAAACGACATGGGTGTATAAAGGTACGGCGACGTCTCGGGAATTAAAAACCTTTCTTGTTCTTCCGACGACAGCAACAATAAAAATTAAAACGCGAGCGATTAATAACGATACCTCTCCCATTAAAACTCGCACCGTCTGGACCGCTCGCTTTCTACGGGAGGCGTTGGCTGCGGAAAGGGTTAAAACAAAATACGAAAAAAACGTCGAGTGGAGCCGTGTGTTCGCGAGCACAGGTCAGACGTTTCGGCCAAGCAGCAGAAAAGATTCTCCCCCCCCCCACCGAGAAACGTATTTTGTGTAAGGGTAAACTAAAACCGTCATTTTCCCATTGGAAAATATTGCATTCGTATTTGTTGCAAAATTCTGTTTGACTTAAAGTGTTATATTATTTAAAATTTGCGCTCCATTTAAAATCGATGCGGTTTAAAACGTGATCATGACCATGATAAAAAAGTAGAAGTACGTCGTAAAAAAAGGGAAGTTAGCGATGTGGCTACAAAGCAACAAGAGCCCATCGCCCTCTTCCACAGCATCTCCTCCGGTCTTAACGAGTGCTCAATGGCGCTCATCTCCGTTTGTCAGCTCCAAGGCAGAGGAGGAAATTCCACATTCCCATAGCAGGGGGAGACAAGGCCATCCCCATAGGTATTCTCAGAGCTTCATTTCAGCCAGGTCTGTACGGGTGAATGGCCCAGGAAACATTTCTACAGCTGGCACAAGCACATCCAGTATACTCCTCTTGCGAGGGCTGTGACTTATAGGCATATGCCATACGAGATAAAACGAAGCGTGTGTGTGAACCTCAAAGAGTTATCTACGCGTCCAGGTGTTCTGACAATGCGCAGTCACCACATTTTTTCTTGACTTCCTAATTTAAGCCAGGTGCCCCCCCCCCACCCTTATAGTCTTGTCTCTAGGCCTACTTCAGTAAAGCAGTGACCCCGCAAATATTCAGTGAGAAACCAAGCACGGAATGGTCTCACTGTTGACTTTATCCAAAGGGGTCTACTTATATCATTCACCCAAGGAAGAATATAATGACGGCGACTCGGATTTGAACTTATTAGCCTGGCTAGCAATCGATAAACCTGGCGATGCAACCCAAAGAACTCGCCCCCGAATCCACCACGGAAGCATCCGCTGACCTGTCTCGGCAACCTCCGTCATCACAATGAGAGAAAACGAAAAGTACAAAAGTGTTGAGGAAGCGAGGCACGGTTGGCTCGAGGTGACGGTGAGTTGCATGTGGTAGCAGTGGAAAAAGGTGTACTTTTTTGTTAAAAACTTCGATTTCAAAAAATAGAACTTAAAAGTTGATCATTACTTGGCAGATACGTGCACGTAAGAAATGGTATAAACGGAGCGCATTGAAACACCAAACGTGAAAAGTGAACAAAATATAATCGGGATGAGAGGTGAAACGGCACAGTTGGAGCTAGGGTAAGGGGTCACAGGGGTCAGGGCCCATGCTAGGGTTTAATTGGCTAGTTGTGGCTAGAGGTAAGCGAGAGTTTAATTGGCTTGTGGTTAGGGTTAGTGTCAGGGTATGATTGGTTGGCAAGGTTAGGGTAGGGATAGTGCCAGAGTATGATTGGCGAGTATGGTTAGAACAGGGGAAGTGCTTGAGGAATTGATTAGGGTTAGGAGGGTAATGTCTGATTGGTCAGTATGGTTAAGCTTAAGGATGGAGTTAATGCTGGAAGACGGCTTGGTGATGCATTATCGTGAGGCTTAGAGCTTGTATCCAATTACCCAGTCCCAAATCTTTGTCCCCTCCTCTCCAATATCAAGCCAAGTCCCAATTTTCATCGCTTTTCAGTTCTGGCGTTATCCAGGCTATGTGTGAACACCGTTGGGAGATGCGGTTTTGAAAGCAGCCATGGCCGACAACGCAGCAATTTGTTCTGCTGTGATGACAATTAAAAAGTTAACATTTGTTCTAAGCAGAGGGTTAAAGAATTCCTCAACTTCGGCTACGTGCTCATTTTTCACGTGGCTCCATTTGTTCTCGCTAAAACCTACAAACGCAATCGACACTTGAGGTTCTGTTTGTCGTGGATTGCTTGTTCTAATTTATCTGAAATGCTTTGCAGTTCAGCGTTTTTTTCTTCCTTCTTTGCTATTTACATTTTTCCGAGACGGGCGAGGCAGACTGGCGTTTAACGCGACTGTGATAGTGACGATGACGGTGGTGATGGCAATGACGGTGGTGACGACAACAGTGGTGGTGGTGAAGAAGATGACGATAATGGTAGTGACTGTGACGGTAGTGGTCACATGATGCACAGATACTCACAGTGCACATTTAAAAAAGAGGAATGCACACATAACAAACCTCCATCATTCAACACAACCGTTGCTACGTATTTTGAATACACACACAAAGGCACAAGGGTCGCCTGTTTCAGACCTGGAAGCTTCAGAGGCAAGTGCTCTTAGCGAGCACCTATTAAGCCCGGGGAAGGCACAAGCATGGGTGGCATCGTAAGCATCACTCATGCCCAGCCATCTTAAGGCTGAGCAGACCTAGGAGAAACCCCAAAACGGGATCAGAAACTTGGTAATGGTGATACCGCTGGTGTCCTTGTGTAATAAGGGCAGAATTTTAAGGCACACACACTCACATCCTACAACCACCACCAAAGATCCCCTGCATAACTCACAAACGGCTGGGGCAAGTGCTGTTTGCGAGCACCCATAAAGGCCGACAGTGCACTTAAGGGTGATGCGGTTAGTACCACATTCGGCCACCTTTGCTTCTCCAGTGCCGAATTTTACGCACTGCACAACAGATATTCAATGAAATCTGACCAGACCGAAGAGAGGACTAGAGATTGGTTCAGATAATATTTGTAACTGATAATAGCCATGGCAGGGAATTTATCCCAGGTTTACCAAGTTCTGAGCGGAGTGTGATAACCACCGTCACCACTCCTGTTACATGCACTAACTTGCATCTTATCACCATCGTTTCATACATTCATCCAATCACCACCACAAACACTCGCACTCACATCCTATGACAACCGCCATTCGCCATTAAGTAGCGGTGACGTCACCACGGCGCTTGTGCCAGGCTATGTGCACTTTAAGACCACGTGAAGTGTCAAACGCCTTTTGGCAGGTCACGGGACCCAAGTACCATGGGTGACGACCACTGTTACACACACTCACGTCTAATAACCACCACAAACACTCACGTCCTATGACCACTGTCAAACACAAACTCAAGACCCTATTACCATCATGCAGTCTGTCCCAAAGGATGATGACCTCTCTTACATCTGGAGTCGGAATCCTTCAGCATCTTATACGGTTATGTTTGGTTCCTGCGAGTTTGTGACTTAGGGAGACTAGCGTTTAAACGATACACCCTTCCACAGAGATCGCAAGCACAGTGGGCCGAGGGTAACCACTGAGATCCAGCATCACCAGTCGACACTAACCACCACTTCTGACCTTCAACCTCCTGGCTTGTTGTTTCTCCTCGTCTTGATAACGCTGTCTCTCGAGCAACAGAGTAGCTTGAGCCAAGCTGCATGCTACTAGTGTTTGTCGGGAGCTTTTCCCATGAATCTACAGGAATTCCGTATCTTCTCAAATTTGAGGTACATCGTTATAATACAGACCTTCTTTACATCTTGAACCTTCATGCAACTGGGCAGAGCAATTTGTTTTGGACTTCTGTATTCTTCCATTCTACGTGTCCAGCCCAGCAAAACTGGCCAATGGTGACCATAGTTGACACAGCAGTCATTCCTACTCAAGAAAGGACTTCAATATTAGTTACTCTATCTTGCTATTTGATCCCCATCAGGCGTCCCAGATGTCTTTGCTCGAGATTGTAAGGGGTCCAAGTGTCAGAGCCGTCGAGGAGAAGCACTTACAACAACGACGGCTTTGTAAAACAATGCACACTTAAATTTTGATTTAAAGCTTTCGTGACTGCAGGGATTCATATTCTTGGTTCTTTCGGTAAAGCCACATAGAAGGGAAACAATAAAATAATAAAAATATAAAACAATAAAATTCTCACGATGTTTCGACTGCAACACAAGCAATCATCATCAGGTGTGAAAACCACAGCAAGAAAATTTGAAGTGGCGTTTTTTTTTACGTTAGCACCAAGGAGAGCGATTTGGCATCCATTATTTTCGTCACCCCCCTCCTCTTTCCGAACATAGATGGACTCGTCCATCTGAATAACTGCCAAATCGCTCTCCGTGGTGCTAACGTTAAAAAAAACCGCCACTTTTTTCTAATTTTCTTGCTGTGGTTTTCACACCTGATGCTGATTGCTTGTGTTGCAGTCGAAACGTCGTGAGAATTTTATTGTTTTATATTTGTATTTTATTCTTTCCCTTCTACGTGACCGAAAGAACCAAGAATGCACACTTAGTCCTTATGGTGGATGCCTGGTTTGTCCCATAAGACATCCTCGAAGGGGACCAAAACTGGACGATGTTGTTTATTCTACATTTTTTTATCTCTTGGTCCGGCTACCATAATTTGTCACACTGTGCTCTCCAAATATGTGAACTTGCTGATTGAGTAAAGTGAGATGTTGGTCAATTTGTGTTTCTCCTCCAGCTCGACTGCTCCCAGGAGCCAGTTTATGAGTTACCTCGGTTGTCTTGAGGCTCACAGTGAGACCAAATTATCTGGCTCAATTTGCAAAGGAGGAGCTGCTTAGCAGTTGTTGTATGGTCAAAAAATAGTCATTTGCATACTGAAGTTCACATACTATGGACCGCTCAAATGAGAGTTTTTTTTCAAATAAAGGTGACAAGATATTAAAGCCAACCATCTGTGCAGGTCTCGATCACTACTCCTGCGTTCAGGTCCTTCATAGCTTCATCCACCATGGCTCAACAGATTTGGAGCCCAAGCACAGCTCACTCCATTCGAAATGTTAAATGCATCTGATACGCCTGAGTGAGCACGAACTCTGCCTAGGTACCATGATGGAACTATCTGATTACATCCAAAGATCCTGGGTGGATACCGAAACTTTTGGAGAAGACCCTATTACCACCATCAATAACAATACCTGCCATTCACTACCAAGTGACGGTGACGTCACCCCAGCACCTGTATCAGGCCACAAAGTGTCGAAGGCTCGCCGACAGGTCACAGGACAGACCCAGGTTGCAAGGGTTGGCTGACCGATATGTCTGGCAGATGTACCAGCTGTACCCCCCTACTATGCCAACTTGCTGAATTTTATCTTTCCGGCGCGCAGCTCGTTGTTGTGAGAGTCACACCTCTGCCCTCCGTTGTTGTTGGAGGACGACTGCCTCCAACTGCCCAGTAGCGTCCTTCACGATCCTTCTCCATGGAGGCCAATCTTGACACCGTTGGTACCAGTTGTCGGCAAGTCCACTCAGCTCCACATCCACCCGTACCACATCAGTCCATCTCTTCTCCAGCACATGTCGTACTCGTTTAGCCCCCTCTATACAGCCAAACAAAAGCTACTTGAGCATGCAGTAGCTGGGCATGTGGGCTACATGACCCAGCCAACACAGTCTCGCCTGCCAGAGCTCAAACACACACACACATATCCTATCATCACCACCATGCTTCACACACATCCTACCATCACCATCACATGGAACCACACACAACCGTGCTCACACTCGTGCCTTCACACCTTCACACACATTCCTCTCTTCTCCTTCTCTCTCTCCCATCCTCCTTCAGTCTCACAGCCATGTGAGAAAGTTCTCCTTGTCCAGCCTGGCTGGGCCCAGCACAGACTCGACGTCGCTGAGGAGGTCGGCGGAGATGGGCTCCTGTAGGCTGGGGACCAGGTCATCCGTGTCCATGCTGACGTCGCCGCCCTCCTCCTCGCCCCCGGAGAATCCGGCACCGACGCCGGACCCAGCCGTCACTGGTGCCACCCCTGCTCCTGCCCCGAGCGTGTCCATCATGCCGTAATCGACGTGGGTGGCCGGCAGCGCATCCAGAAACTCAAAGAACGGCTGCTGTTGCTGCTGCTGTTGGGGCTGGTGCGGCTGCTGGTGTTGGTGAGCGCGCAACGGAGACTGTGGAAATGGAGATGGTTTCTGCGCCGCTGCCTTCATGCCGGTGCTGTTGCCGCCGCTATGACCGGCGGCGGTGAAGGGGACAGCACCATGTCCTGCGTGGGGCAAGCTGTCGCAAGCTGCCGGCACACGAGGGGAGACGGGTGTTAGGGTTGCGGTTGTGTGTGGGTGCAAGATCTTTCTTTGGCGCGGTGTTAGCGAGATGTTGACTACTACGCCTGGTATGCACAAGGTCGTGGGTTCGATTCTGACCCTGACACCTGTATATTTGGAGTTTGGATGTTCTCCCCGTGGCCGTGTGGATTTTTCTCCGGGTCCTCCGGTTTTTCCCTTTCACATTTCGAAACAGGCCCTGAGAGTATTTGGCTGGTATAAATTTCCACAGGATAAGCCACTTTGTTGAGCTATCATTTGTGGCCAGGTCACTTCTTAAAAGAGCTGTATAGCTCAGTGGGCCTTACCTGGTAAAATAAAATAGTTTCATTTTTAGTTTGGAAACGGGGCAAACATTGATCATCTCCAAGCTCTACACGGACTGACAGGGTCGCGTGTAAACCCGGCGAATGGGGCATCACTTTCACCAGATCTCAAAATGTTCTCTGAGGAAATCCAGATTCTCCGTTGTTGGTGTCCAGATTTGTCATGTTTTTTTCTTCACATTTTTAAGTTAAGTTTACAAGTAATGTTATTTAAAACAAGATGATCTGTGAAAACAACATAATCAGTCTTCTGTATGACATGCTTTAGAGATGCTTGATGTTGTTATTTGTATCACCACATCTCTCCCAAGTCATGGACTTTTTTCAATAACCCCTACAAAGTGAATGGAGGCTAACATAAATGCACATATATCCAGGAAAGCCTCCCAGAGTCTCAATACTTTTTCTCATCAGGGTCCCACATTGGTTTCTATAGCCAAGTATATATGCAAGGAAATATCCAGAGAAAAAAAGCAACCAAAAGTATAAGAGGATAACGCAGAAGGGTCTGTACAGATGGGCTCAGAAACCCACGTGCTGTAATCCCATCTGCTGAACGCCAGCAAGTTTGGGAACCCACAAAAGTTTGGTAGTGTCCTAACATAATTGATTAGATGCGCCTGCAATCGCGCGCAGCCACGAGTTAGTAATATGGTGACTAAGTGGTTAACATGGCCATGTCGGAACAGTGGCGAGTGACATCCTAACACATACACGAAACACTGTACACACATCCACACACGTACCCACATACGACATAAACACAAACACATGCCCCCTCCAGATGCTGTGTACACACAAAAGAACCAGCCCCCCCCCCCACACAAACCGTACAAGCACACACCCCCACATACTGTAAATAAACATTTATACAAAAACATTCAAATACACACACTCGCATACAACATAACACCCGCCAATCTCCACTAAGTGGCGGTGATGTCACCACAGTGCCTGTGCCAGGCCAGGTGCACAAAAACCTATTCAAAATACACACACTCGCATACTCGCACACCATGCACGCAAGCAGCCCCACAAATTAACATAACTACACAAGGAGACACTCTCACAAGCGTTCACACACTTACACGTGCACTTCATATTCACACACATGCATACTCACACCCTCCCAGAGATGCTCACACACTCACACAAATACACCCACAACAAAGATAAATATCTCCTGTATAGCCATAACAGGCTGTTGGGGCAAGTGCTGTTAGGGAGCATCTATGAAGGCCATCATGACACACAAGGGGGTGGGTGGCTAAAACCACACCAGACTGCCTTTGCCTCCCCAGTGGGGATGTTTACACCAGGTACTCATTTGAGACCAAATCGACCTAAAGGAGGCCTTGGATCGGTTCAGATAATCGCCATTGGTGTTGGCCGTGAGCGGGAATCGAACTGAGTTCGTAGCGTAGCACGCTAACCACTGCGCCACCGTACACACATGCAGAGACAAAGCTCCCCCATGTGGCCTTAACAGAATGTTGGGGCAAGTGCTGTTAGCGAGCACCTAGAAAAGCCGGCATGACACATGAGGTGGGTGCGCGGCCAACACCACACCAGACCACCTTTGCCTCCCCAGTGGCGATGTTTACACACCACACCAGGTACTCATTTGAAGCCAAGTTGACCTCGGGGATGCCCAGGACCATTTCAGATAATCGTTACTGGTGTTGGCCGTGAGTCAGAATCGAACTTGGGTGGCCGGGGTTCGTAGCGCAGCGTACTAACTACTCCACTACCGCTCCCCACTCGTACACGCACGCACGCACTCACTCATGCACACACGCATGCGTGCGCATTCTCACTACCATCGATGTCGTCGGTGGCGCCATTGCCGTGCATCTCCTCAGGCGTGCGCGAGAGGCTGTAGTTGCCCACGCTGAGGCCGCTGTCCGTGCTCGCCTCCCTGGAGTGGAACGCCCCGCTGGGAATGAGCAGTATGCGCTCATTAGACAACGCGGAAGGAACATCACACAAATGTTGCACTTCTCTGCGAAGGACGTGTTTAGCGAGAATGACGTTACCTCCCGAGAGGAATTACGAGGCCTCGCACGGTGCTATGGTTTTTTTCTTTTACCTACCACCAGGTAAGGCCCAACTGAGCTCTATAGCTATTTTTCAGAAGCAACCTTGCCACAAATGAAAGCTCAACAAAGTGACTTATCATGTGGCAATCAATAGCAGGCAATTACTCATAACACGTGTTTCTAAATGTTGAGGGAAAAACCAGAGGACCTGGAAAAAAATCCACGCAAGGATCCCAGCAAAACACACAAACTTCAAATATACAGCAGCAGGCATCAGGGTCGGGATCGAACCCACGGCCTCCTGTATACCAGGTGAGGTAGTTAACAACTCCTAGCCACCGTGGCGCCCAGACTGCCAAGTGAATGGCTCGGTCTGACAAGTGGCTCACAAACCTGTTAAGGAATGGGTCGGAGCCAGACGTGTTGATGGCCCTCATGTCCTGGACTGCGCCATTCCCCGGGGAGGGGGTGTGCACTCCGTTCAGCATCTCCACATCCATGGGCATCTGCCCCCGCATCGCCAGCTCCTGCAGAAAAAAACACCAGAGGCACGGGGATCAATCCATCTGTTGCTGTAACGTTCTTACCCGCCTCTAATGGATATCTGTAAATAAACATTCCGAGTCTGATTCTGAATCGGTTTATTAATCGCCAACAGCCGAGCACACGATGATTCGTCAATGAAACGTGTTTAATTTGATAATTAAGAGTTAAATAGAGTGAGAAATTCTGCATCTCGCGACATGAAAACGATAACGCAAATCTGGATAAATTTGGGATAAAAGGTATTTACAGAAGCATATGAGAGCCTATTTATTTACACCGAGTCTCTTTTTCAAGGGCATTCTGGGTCACCGCACGCGCAACCGAAACTCAGATTCGAACCCAGGTACTCAAAGGTTCCGTGGTTCAATGCTGTCCTCGTACCCACCCGCAGGCGACCACCATGACTCTCAACTGCTTTTACATAAAGTATTAATGAAGGTAATGAAAAGGGGCCTCATCTAATGCACCTTCAATGAGCACGGTTGGCTACGCACAGTGCGAAAGAAGTTCAACATACATACAATCAATGTTTTCCAGCAGCATTTACATCAGCAGCAAACTCTTTATGAGTTCCAACCTCTGCTTCTCATCAGGTGTGGTTTGTTAAACAAATACTGCCTCGATTTCTGATGATACAGAAAGACTGCTCCATGAATACTGTCCCATTGATATATGTGGACAACAGCATAATAAATACATGTTTGTGCCTGCACACAAGTGCTGTTGGCGAGGAGCTATGAAGGCCAGCAGGCCATATGGGGTTGGGGATGCGGCCAGCACTGTGCCCGGCCACCTTTGTCTCCCCAAGGAAGTGCCTGACCCGGTTCAGATATTCGCCACTGATGCTGGCGGTGAGCAGGAATCGAACTCTGGTATCTGGGTTTGTAGTAACCACTGCGCCACTGTTCCCCACACTCGAGCACTCGCGCACACGCAATCACTCAAACACCCCCCCCCATACACACATGCGTGTGCACGCACACCCACAGAGCCATACTTGCCGATACACACACACACACAAACGCTACTATACACATGTGCATGCACTGCCGTGCACCCCCACACTGGTATAGCTCGTAAATCAGGGCAGGGGAATAACAGGTTTGTGTGGTTTTCCTCCCCTGTTTCTGGGACTCCCATTTCACCTTCGGGATAAAACTGGCAACGTCAGAGCAGGCACACCCACGCTTTACCAGCTCCGGAAAACCGGAGGTATCTGCCGACAAGTCCTAACAGCTCCATGTTTACACACACCCACACATACACACGGAAATGCATGCACACACATGCACAGGGACGCACCCATGCACACACCATTGGACAAATAAGAGACATACACAGGCACATACAGACAAACGCAAGCACTTGCACAGGGACTCATATCGACAGGCATGTAAAGACAAACATCCCTCAGTGTCGCCTTAACAGACTGCTGGGGCAAGTGCTGTGAGTGAGCACTTATCAAGGCTGTAACAGCACGAGGGGGTGGGTCGCCAGCACCACGCCCGGCCACCTTTGTCTCCCTAATGGCATTATTTTTACACATCGCACCAGGTACTCATTTAAGGCTGAGTCGACCTAGGGGAGGCTCGGGGCCTGTTTAGATAATCGCCACTGTTTATTGCTCGTGAGCGAGAATTGAACTCAGGTCGTCAGGTTCGTAGCACAGCGCGCTCACCGCTACCACTCCCCATGCACTTGCACAGGGACTCGCACGGATTGGCATACACCCACACAGCCACACCCAAACACAGATACCCCCCCCCCCCATGCCTCATACATATGCATAAACAAGACAAAGATCCCCGTATAGCCTTCATAAACTTGTGTGGCAAGTACTATTCGCAAGCACATATGAATTCCTGCACGGCACACGAGGGGGGAGGTGGTCAGAACCACGCCCTGCCACCTTTGTCTCCTTGCACCAGGCACTCATTTAAGGTTGAGTCGACCGAGGGTAGGCCCAGGACCGGTTCATATAATCGTCACTGGTGTTTGCTGTGAGCCGGTGTTGAACTCGGGTCACCGGGTTCGGAGCCCAGCGCATTAACCACTGCAATACCACTCCACACATCTACAAAGACAAATATCCCCCGTATAGCCTTAACAAATTGTTGTGGCAAATGCTGTTAGCGAGCACCTATGAAGGCATACACACACACACTCGCACACATGAAGACATAGACATCCCTAATAGTCTTATAGACTATTGGAGTAAATGCTGTTTGAGAGCTATGATGGAGGTGGTGTGTGGTCACCCAATCACCTCCATATCTCCTGAGTACTGATGTTAACACACGGCCCAAGGTACTACAGTAATTTAAACTGAGTTTGTCGAACTAGGGAAGATTCAGATGCATGTCATTGATGTTAACCATGGCCGGGGATTTAACTTATACATCTGGGTTCCCCGAGCAGTGTGTGATCCACTGCTCCCCAAGTGCATGCCCACACACATAATTACACATGCAGGTGCCCACACACAAATGCATATGCATAAACACACACCCACAAACACAATAAGAGCCACACGAAATAAAGCTCCCTCGTGTAGCCTTACAGCCTGGGCAAGTGCAGCCACAGGGCAGTGCCGATGTTTATACACTGCAGCAGGTACTCATTTAAACCTGAGTTGACTTTAGGCAGCCCAGAACCAACTCTATCACCGCTTTTAACTGTGCAGGGAAATTAAACTTCCCATGAACAGAGTGCAGTGCACTATCCACAGCGTCACCCCTTCTCACGCACACATCCGTAGACACACATCAATGTCCTTCCAGCAAAAACGGGTATCAGACACTGGCAATTTAAACTTGTTTTTTTACAGTAATTTTACTGTGCTAGTTAGATCTGATAACGGAAGCTTGTGTTGCCTCTGAAACGTCGTGATTTGATTAACTTAATTTTTTTATTTTTACCTACGTGACTTTACCGACAGAACCAAAGAGTATGTTTCCAGGTATAGAGTTTATTTGGCGCAGTCCAGTCACCAATGACTGCATGCACGTCCCACCAAATTTCATTTTGGTTGTTCACTTAATTTGGTCACATTTCAGCTCTGAGAATTAACAATTATGTTTTGACTTATAAGCAAACATGCTTGGCAGGACATATGAAAAGGTGTGTTCCCATTGTGGATAAAGTGACGTCAGAAGCAGCTTTGCGGTGTCACCTGCATTGTTGTCTTAGATGATGATGGCCATGTGATCTAAGCTTAGGTCGTGTTGGGTGAGAGAAGCAATTTAAAGTCTACTGCCTCAACTACACAACTCCCCCACACTTAACTTCTCCTCTTTACTCTTATACAAAGTGGTTGATTATGCCGCATTTTCTTGGGACAACTAGCTGGATTCGCGCTGGCCTGAGCTGCCCTGAGCTAACTCATTTATCCCCAAATGAGAGTTCAATGGTAACGTGTTGGGAAAAAGTGTCATGTCCACAATTTTCCCGAGTTATTTTGAAAATCATGGAAGTTGGACAAAGACTTCCCAGAAATACTTGCAAGTTGCAACTATTGTATTCTATCAACCTGCCTATGCTTACCCAGCAGTATCAAGGAGTACAAGCACTAGGCAGTTCATATGTTGTGCGGTAATGTGTAGGGGTACTCTGACCATTTGTAAGATGTCAAATACCCTGTAGGGCAACGGTTCTCAACCTTTTTTGGCTACTGTACCCCTGGTTGAATTTTGTTTCAACCGATTACCCCCTTGCCTGTCCCAACATGGTTCTGTGAAATAAATGTATGAATAATGAACATCAACATTTAATCACTTGTCCATTTTGTCAGGTATCCTAACTAGCTAATAACTGCAAGTCACTAAAAACATTTCAATGCACGCTCCGCATGCATGACGTAATTTGTTCACGCTCTCTGTTACTCTTCGAAACCACATTGTTTAGAATCAATGAGTCTAGAAGGGTCTATTATATCAATCTAGGTTACCATATGGATTTATATTTTATTGTAGTTATTTTATATTAGCCTTTTCCCTGTCCAAGGACGGGTGTATTTCAGTAAATCTGAAACTTGCAAGCGAAAATCAGACCGCGACGTGATATTCATTGCATCAATTCGTGTGCAATTTGTAAGGCCGTGGTGATAAGAATTATTTCATGTAAAGGTTATAATCCCTTATTCATCATGACGTCCTTTTTACTTCGATGTCTCAATAGCGTTACGGAGATCGCGTGACGTGAGGGTTCTGCCTTTGCAGTTGACGCTGAGGAGGGGGGAGGAGGTGCCTCACCCCCCCCATGTGGAGTGACGTCACCCTCTAATTAATATTAATGGGGGTGCCCATTTGGAAGACGTCACCTCTTCATGATTATTAATGTGGGGGGCTGTTCGATGTGGACTGACGTCACCTGCTCATGATTATTAATGGGGGGGGCTACATGTGGAGTGACGTCATCCGCTCATGATTAATGAGGGGGGGTCCATGTGGAGGATGTCACCTGTTCATGAGTATTAATGAGGGGGGCTGACCGACGTGGGGTGACGTCACACGCAGGACACAGACATTTTTGGCTCATTATATACAGTAATTGGCAGATTCAGACATGATTATTCAATTACTCATGTATAATATAATTTCACGAATAAATCACCTTAGGTACCCCCCTGGGACATTGCCACATACCCCAAGGGGCCCGTGTACCCCCGATTGAGAACCACTGCTCTCAAGGGGCTCTTTGGCACCGCCCCCCCCCCCTCTAATGGAGGCCCTTCCTTTAGCAGTGACTCGAGCAAGCAATTGCAGGGCTGCAAATTAACCTTTTTAATCGGTTATTTTAGTGGGATATCCCAGCTCTCCTCGAGCAAACATGACGTACCTGTCTCATGTCGTGTCTCACCCTCATCTTCTCCTTAGGCAGGCGCAGCTTCTGTGCCGCACCCAGCCCTCCCGTCGCCTGATAGGTCGGAAGCCCGCGGCCAGAAGCCGCCTGATTGGCCGCCGGGGACATCGGTGCGTGGCCATGTGTGGGGAAAGCTGGGGTGGGCGTCAGCCGCTGCTGAGGAGATTCTGTTTTTGTGGGGAGGGGGAATAGAGGGAAAATTAGTTCTGAAAACTAAGCAAGAAAATTATTGAACTCTATGTACGTTTGTCTTGAGCAGTTTTAATGAGTGATATCACGTTCTGAGCTGCGCAGCGAGACGTCACACATTACGTGACGCCACGAGATAACCTTGAGCGCTGATTACATGGGGAGGTGAGGCACATGCGTGACGGGGTCGATAAGGCTGGTCCCTTTCAACCCTGGCTTTTAGTGCCACGTATTGGGCGACACTTTCAAACTTAGTTGGATAGCATTGAAAATGCCGTAGGCCTAGTTCAGGGTTGGATGGCAAAGGTGGCGGCATTTATAGTAATGATGGTGGTGATGGTGGTGGCGGTGATGGTGATGATGGTAGGCGGCCGTCGTCACCGCTTACTGTAAGCTGGCTCCAAGCGAGGGTCGAGCCAGGATGTTGTCTTGTTCTTGTGGTCGATGAAGTAAACCTCTCCATCGGGAGTCACAGCCTGCTCCCAGCCATCGGGCAGGGGTCCTGCCACACACACACCAGCCATCACATCATCACCATCGGCATATCATTGCTTAGGCAGCAAGCCCCACCTCATCGCACATGCGTTGTCACACAGCCCATAGATGAGTTTACGCCTTTATCATCGAGCTGTTGATGTTTAAGATTAGCGGCGTGCACCACGACGCGACAAAGTTGAGGCGACGGACTTGGAAATGGTTGCTTGATCTTACTCTGTCTCTTATTTCTCCTCGGCTCTCTCACCCTTTCCCTCTTCTATCACTCCATCCACCCTCTTTCCACCTCTCTCTCCTCTCCATCTCTCTCTTAATTACTCTCTCTCTCCCCTTGTCTCTCTCCCCACGCATCTCCTCACCCCCGACCTCATGCTTCTCTCCCCCCGCGTCTCTCTCCCCCCCCCGCGTCTCTCTCCCTCCCCCATGTCTCTCCCCCCCCCCCCCCCCGCATCTCTCTCCCTCCCCCGCGTCTCTCTCCCCCCCCCGTCTATCTACCCCCCCCCCCCGCGTCTATCTACCCCCCCCCCCGCGTCTATCTACCCCCCCGCGTCTCTCTTCCACCCTCACGTGTCTCCCCGCCCACTCGCCTCTCTCCCCACCCTCCACGCTTTTCTCCCTGCCCCCGCCCCCCCCCGCGTTTCCCACCGGGCCTCTTTAAACCCCTCTGACCCTTTCTCCCCCACCGCGTCTCTCCCCCCATCCCCCCCCCCCCAGCATCTTTCTTCCCCCCGCGCCTCTCACCAAGTTGCTGTGGCCCCTGTGCGCTGGTGCGGTTTGCTGCGACAAGGCTCGCGCCAGGGTTGGCGGCGCCGCTCTCCGCCGCCAGTACCCCGCGCGGGTCGTGCCACGTTGTCGTCTGGTTGTTGTGGCTGAAACATTCACACATCGGCACCAAAGTCGTCACCATCTTCAACATTATCATAATTGTCGTCAACATCATCGTCACCACCATCATCAATATCAATCTCTCCTGATCTCTCTCACTTTCCCTCCCAATCTGTCCTGCATCCCCCCTCTCTTCTCACCCCCCCCAATCCCTTTTCTTCTTTCCATCTTTCCATATATCCCTCTCTACCTTACTCCGTCTAGCAATCTCATTCACTCTACCCATCTCTTTCTCCCGTTCGCCCACTGCTCTTTCTCACCATTGCACACTTCTGCGGTTCTATACCTCCTTTCTCCCTGCCACTCTTCCAATCGCCATCCACCCACATCGCACGACGCACTCTCTCCCATCTCTCTTCTGCTCCTACGCCCCCCCCCCCTTTTTCCCCTTGACGAAGAAATGCTATCTTGATGGCAATGTACGCTACCTCCCAGCCTGTAGCCCGTTCTCCGACTACCTCTCTCCCTGTCCATCTCCCTGCACAATTCGCCCAACCCTCTCTTACTTGATGAAGTAGCGCTGCCCAGCGGCCGTGAATGCCACCTCCCAGCCGGGTGGGAAGGGGGCATCGTTCTGGTCCAACAGCTCGTACGATCCCTGCCGGCTGTGCTGCACCATCGCCGCTTGCGCAGCCACCACCACCTGCTGTTGCTGCTGCTGCGGGGACAGGGGGTGTGGGAAACCCGTCGCCTGCGCCTGTTGCTGCTGGGCTTGCTGTTGCTGGGCCTGTTGCTGCTGCTGCTGCGCCTGCTGCTGCTGCTGGGTCGACATGGGCTCGAGGAGTGCCGGCGAGGAGTGCGAGCGCGAGTGCTGCGCATGGACGGCACCTGTAGAGGAGGGGAGGGGCGGTTACATGCATTGAGGGGATGACCTCACACAGCGCGAGTTTCATGCCGACCCTAATACTGTGGATATATGATACATGCACACCTCATATAGGCAGAGGGATGCTGCATAAGTAGCGTGCGATGGTTAGCACACGGGACAGGTTGCCCGTTCGATCACCCAGAACAACAGTAGAAACAATAGGCAAGTGTCGTATATTCCTCCGCCCAGCAGTTAAATGTGTATGCCACAGTGGATCGGCATCTCATGTGGTCACTCCCACCTCTTCCAAGACGTCTGGCCAGCATAGAAGAGTAGGCCAAATATGTCGAGAGGGGATTATTGTGGAGGCTCTTCTGCCAACAGTTGCGTGAGCAATTAGTTGCAGGGCTGCACGTTCAACTTCATCCTTTAGGTTTATAAAGCCCAGTGCGATTAAAAGGAATACATGGATATATTGGCGGGACACACCGGTGCAGTATAATAAACCGGTCCTCATATAACAGTTTAAAATCTAAATTTTCATCAGAAAATCTGTTTATCAAGTCTTTAAATTGACCCAGCTGCCAAGTTTGATGAGATTCGAAGGTTTATTCGGTCTACTGAGACTTTCTAAAAACAGGTCAATATTGACCGTTGATTTGTGTCGTTGAATCGAGCAACCGTCTGACCAAGTCTCGGGCATGAGTCAAATTTGCCTTTGGAACACGGAACCAATCATCAGGCTGGGTGCTATACGGCAACAGACTGTGAAGCTTCGTATTCAGCTGCTCATAACAATCATCTTCCCACTGTTTCAACATCAACATCACGAGAACCAATGTTGACACACCCCGTGAGATTTTCTGACCAGGGTTGCGAATTTCGGGCAAAATAAATCATTTTTGCGATTTTTATTTTACTTTACACTGCACACCGGTGTACCGCCAATACGTTCACATTATTACATTACACTGGTATGGGAGGGAAGCCAAAGGGCCACTTCGGATACAAGGTCACTGGATATAAGCACATCTGGCCGAATATTAATTCACAGACCTTTTTCAATCCACGGGTGGGTGAAGGCCTCCCCATGCAGTTTTGGTCGGAGGGGTTGTTTGGTCATACTTCATCACACTGGTCAGTGCACGTCAGCGAAGAGCGGAGGTGGCCCAGGATGGTTCAGCTATCACTCGCCAAGGATGTTAGCCATGACCGGTTGATTAGCATGGTTGGCTACGTACGGTGCAAAAGAAGTTTAGGATATATACATACATATATGGCCGGGAATCAAAATCAGGTCAAGTGGTTCATGGCGCAGTGAGCCAAGGACTGTGCCACCACTCTACCAATAGCTCTATAGTGGAAGTCCTCTAGGATGCCCGGTGTCACTTCATTAGTTTCTTCAACCGTCCATCACCCTTCTAGCCATGATGTGTCTTGCTCAAGCGCACTTACCTTTGTCAACAGACAATTTGATGTCTCAAATTTGCATGTTTTCTGATTACATGGTTCCTGTTCCTATCAGTGCAATTCCAAGCGATCCAACAAAGCAAGCCTTGGGATGACATAATAAACAAAATTCAATCATGCCTGTGGTCTGTATGTTCTGGGAAAAATGTTTCTAAAGGAGTAGCTGTATGTAGGAAGAGAGCAACTTGAAGATAAGGAATTCCACCACAAGATAAATATTTTTAAAAATCTGAGATTTTGTTTCTCAAGTGAGCATCTCAAGCGGTACGCATCGCCTTTCTACGGCCTTGAGCCAGTGGTAAACATTCCACATTCATATGGCAGGGATAAGTCTGGGAGAGGACAAATACTGTTGCCTTCCTTATATAGCAGTACTCAATTTATCCACCCTGGACAAATGATGGGCTGAATCAACTCTCAACCAGGATTGAATTCGCAACATTTTAATTGTGCTTCTCTCACTCTACCGTGGAGCCAATTAATACAAGCATAATATTGAACGTCATATCGGTCACATATCGATCGCTTATCCACCCTGACCAATTAACGGCCCACTACCACTGCAGTATGCAGTGCACGGTGTAACTGTCATTTGCGATAAATGTTCACATATCTGACCTATTTACATATCCGCCTATACGTCAGTTCTAAGCGAGTCAGATATGTGAGGAGGTACTGCGATAACTAGCACGGAGAAATGGACGTTCGAAATCACACTGAGAGACAATAGATTAACGCATGCATTAGAGAACATGCGCAAGTTAGAAACATCACTTCACCTTAAAGAAAAGTAAACTGTGGACAGGGCATGTGCAGAAGTGATGATGGGACAACGGTTGATGCTAACAGAATCGCAGCCAAAGAAACACGCCTGAATGAATGCATGATCAATGTGGAGATGCAGCGATGAGTGCAGCTCGTCTTTTGGGAGCTAGGCAGATAATTTCATGGCGAAACCATTAGAAATGGCTGCGGCTTGGGGAAGCTCTCATCCAGCAGTAGAAAAATCAGGGCTGCTGAGTGTTGATTGAGTTAAAAAAAACTGTAAAGATGCCGCCATAAAAGTGCCTGACAGGTGACCCTCCATAAATCATTAACGAACAGCCGCAGAGTTTTCTCAATTGACACGATCAGGAAATGAAGATACTGTATGCGGTTTCAGAAGCGGCTGCAAGTTGACAACTCGGAGATTGTAAAAAGGAGTTACGAAAAAAAACCCACCCAGCTACTACAGAACAAGTTGTGCAGACACCCCCCCCCCTTCATTTCCGGCCTCCGTCACACTGCTTGGGGTTAACATCAAGGACAGGTTTATGGCTCTTAAGACTCCAAGGACAAGTTGCTAGGTTTAGAAGCTGGGACGAGCCCATTTACATCTATCATAGTTGCTATACTTTTCTCTACCTCCCACCCCACCACGTGCCCCAGTCTGATATGGCTTGCACTCACTCCTCCCCTTTGGCTGGCATTGTTGTTAAGTCTCGATAATCGGCCATCATCCCCTTCTAGCCATGTCTGAGGCATGCCCAAGCCCACTAACTTTTATTTTCGGTCAATGCGAGGTCTCTAATTTGTCTTTTTTTTCTCTGATCCACAAGTTTCTGTTTGTGCCTCTGTCGTGTATTTCCAAGTGCGCACCTCTCTGTGCACTTTTGTAAAAAATTGCTTTGTCGACGTCCATGTTTTTAATAAACGCCGTAGCTGGTCACACGCACTGACTAAACACCGTCTTGTTTGACCACATTGGTATTTTGTTTTGCATTATAACGTTCAGGTTTTCAAAATCACTCCAACATGCACTCACTGGCCTCTTTATATAATCGTTTTAATGCAGGTGTGACTTCAATGCGCAGGTGTATACACACTCTAGTTTGTGTTTTCAAGTTGTGTCCATCCAAATAAAATCTTCAATTGTTTAGCAAACCTCTGATAAATAACTCTTGTCTTGATCATTCATTTTGTGCTCAAATTTGTAGCATTCGTTATGAAGTTCAATTATTTATTGTAATTGATTACTACTGGCTGCTAAAAATTTGCTATATTATCCGCCACTATAAGATGGTTCATACTATCACCATTTTCATTGTATGCTTTATTCTTTAATACAATTTTTGAAAGAAACGTTATACTGTATCCATAATAAACGTTATTTTGTTAGAGCGTGTAAATATAAAATATACATTTACACGATCTAATACAAAAAAAACTTAATTATGGATATTGGTTGCGGAAGCCTATGTTTTAAACAGAAAAGTTCTCGTTTTGCCCAGTAGTCCTGATGAGAGCACATCACGTTGCACGACCCTTGTTCTTGGTTGTATTATATTTCTTCACACACTCCCAGTGTTAGTTGTTCTATCCTTGTAAATGTGTTTTTTTAATGTCTAGTGGGTTTTCTTGAAGGTCTTTGTTTTTGAGAGCTTGGATCACTCTGCATTAGTTTCCAGTGAATCGAATGCCTTTACATAGCTTGCACAATCCAGGCAAAACGGTCAATGTAGATGCTAGTCAACCACGAGAGAAAGCTGGTTTCAGAAGAGGTTTTCTACGATTGACCCACATAACACTACCAATACGATTATAGAAGACTACTTGAGTTTCAGACACCACGAGGACTGGCTTTTGCAGACTGAAAAGGAATATGCAATACTGCAGTACGCTTCACAGTGCAATGTCTTTACGGATGTTAAGTTAAAAATTCGATATACTGTACTGTTATGTTTACTCTTGCAAAAAGTAATTATTTGTAATTCATTGCATTAAAAGCATTTATAAATCATTCTAATAAATAAACTGCTTGCACCTCTTCCAAAACTACATTTTAATTATGTAGTTAAATATTTATCGCAGACCTTTTTAAGAGTGTAACAATACACCAATAAATATTGATTATCTAACCCTCATGATAATTATGTGAACACAGATGAATTCATGCAGGATGTAATGGGTTCACGTGACTGCCGCAGCCACCAGTGGCCGCTACACTCACGAGGTTCAACGATGTTTCTTGAATAAAATTGTCGAATCAATTCGTGTGCCTGAAAAGCAACACAATCAAATCGCTTGCCAGAGGTGAATCATTACATGCCAACCTTGCTCTATATCTGCTTGCTATTCTTTATGTATATATATTTTTTTATTGTAAGTTCTCTCGTGCGTGTTGTATTCCAATGTGAGCCCTACAACAGGCTTGCTCATCACCGTGTCCCCTTTGGCCACAATAGCCTCTCACCTGCCTTAAAGGGCATGCATTAAGACAGCATTTCTATACCCAAGGGAGCCCAAAAAACAAACACCCTTGTGCAATGTTCCAGTTTCATGTCCTCTTCTTAGGTGCCTTTCTGAAACGCACGTAACACTCACTTAAAGTGAAATCCCTTAGCCTCCCTCAGGGTTTCCTCTCAAAGTGTTTCTGCAATTGCACACATCATCAGCAGCCCCATTGTTTATCCACTGCTGGATGAATGCCTCCTCACGCCATCGTCATCCCTCACTGCCCAGTGCTTTTACTACCACCCATCTCACTCCGGCATGTCAGCTAATCTCATTACTCCTGCTCCACAGCGGTTCTTCTTCTGAACGCGTTCCCTCCTTCCAATGACCATTCCGTCAACAGTCTCGGCCATTGGCCCGTACCATTCTTACAGCGCAAGGCTATGACGAAGATGCCCATGTTTTGCATAGTTCTGCAGTAAACTAAAACTAATCTAGCCCTCCTCCAAGTTTTTTTTTTAGCAGAGTGGAGTCCATCCTGGATGAGAGACGCACCAACTCCGACCAGAGACATGACTCTCAGAGGAGTCCAAATGAAACGAAGTAATTCTTTTTTATTTCAGCAGGTAAGGCCCACTTAAGCTATATGGCTCGTTTTCAGAAGCGGCCTGGCCACAAATGATAGCTCAAGTGGCTTATCATGTGTAAATTTATAGCAGCCGAATACTCTAAACAAGTGTTGACTCTAAATGTGGATGGAAAAAACGAAGGACCCGGAGAAAAATCTATGTGACCATGGGGGGAGAGAGAGAGACACACACACACAAACTCCAAATATACAGGCGCCAGGGTGGAGATCGAACCGACAACCTGTATACCAGGCGACCTAGTTAACATCTCACCACCGTGGCGCCCCAGCTGTGGTTTTAGTGGGGGACAAGGTTTTTGTGTAAACTTTAGTAATGCCATAATTCGCAGGTAATATTCAAAGTTGGCCAATTTGGACCTCGAGACGCGGCACACAATGGCCTATACTTTTTAGAGTGACATTACAGGATCTTTAACGTCCACTGTGAAGCAGATGGTTCGTATTGTATAGCTGATACACTTTGCAACATCACACATCGTCATGCTGTGCATGAAATATCGGGGTGGGTTGCCACCTTTAAGAGGCCAGGATGTTTGAGTAGCTATTTCTCTATGTGCCCGAGTATAACTGAATGAACAAAAATTGTCAACTTTATTTTCGGCGATTAAAAAAATCCTTTTTAGTTTATGAATCGACTCATCGATTAAGCATCCCAGCTCTGGAAACTATCAAAATTCCTCCCGCTATAAGTAAAGTTACATAACAACAAAGTATGTTTAATACAAAAAACACACACATTGAAGCCATTTTCACCTAGCAATGTTGGGAATGTTGGAATTTAGTAAAAAAACGCTAATGTATAATACGTTTTACCTCACAAAGGTTAAAACAAATAAAATATTCATCTTATTCTGCGAGAACTCTGGGTTATGAAACTATTTGGACAAAATAATAAACTTCCAATTTACGTCACAAAAATCTAACAAATACCATAAGCCAAAGTAGGCTTAATTACGAAAATAAACATTTAAGAAACGTTCAATGTAAAAGAAACGAACTGTACAATAATATACTTCTCAATTAGTGATTGAACAATGCAAGTGATTGTCAAAAAAAAATCACAGATTTAAAGCAATACCCATCCAGACGACCCACCTCAAAATACGCAAAAATCACATTTCAGTCCACAAAAACCAACAGGAACATTTAAACAACAACAACAAAAAGCCATTTCACGTGACATTGTGAGCACCTAATCCTAAGAGAGCGTATATTGACTCGAAAACAACAAACTGACTACATTTGCCTTACCCATGACTCAATTACGCGTGACTCCAATTAACCGCGGTCGCTGTTTCAGGGGCCACACAAACTCCCTATTATCCATCGCTGTAGTCTTCCTATTCACTCGATTGGCTGTTTTGATTCCAGTTAAGCGGATAGCATCACGCGCATAATCTGTGATCTTCGTGCCCTCCCACATCACATAGCAGATGCTATAGTCAGCTGTGAAAAAAGAGCGTCTAAGCTCATCTTAATTCCTCCAGTATACGTAAATATTCTGATTATGATCTGACGATTTCTGCTGTGTGCGAATATTCTGCTAAACACTTAATCTCCCGCTTCTAGGTACTGTGGACAATGTTAGTGACTTTAATTTTGTTTTGTTTAAATAACTTATGGAAAATGTTATCTCGCGAAACTTTTATTTCGGTTATTTTCTGTACCCTGACAGTCACTTAAGTGCGAGTTTGCAGTCACCACCTTGGAAAGAAAGTGTTTACCACAGGGAAAGTTCTATTATTTCGTTTAATATTTACTGAAAGTATATCGCGTCTTAAAATTTGCGCTGGACTGTTAAGGGTGTTGCAGAAACCTCCTTAAAGATTACAGCTTAAGTGAAGATTGAGACATTTCCCGTTTATTATACTTAGTGTGCCGAGTGTAAACTATTCGCGATTAAGTAGACTAATGGTGTTGCAGAATACAACTGGAGAAAGCCCTCAAATGAAAGTGAAGGAATGTATCTTACTTCGTTCGTCCCTTAACGCTTGATTAAGTGTAAGAGTTACAGAAACCAATCTAAGCGGAAAGTTTAAGGGATTTCACGGAATGTGTTCTGCAAGTTGTGATTTAGTATTGGCTCTTAAACTTTTACTTAAGTACAATAGTATTTTGATTTAAAGCTTTCGTGACTGCAGTAATTCATATTCTTAGCTCTTTCGGTAAAGTCACGTTGAAGGGAAACAATAAAACGTGACTTTACCGAAAGAGCTAAGAGTACAATAGTATTGTAAAAAGGCAGTGTATTTTGAAGAAACGCCATGGGTTAAAGTTACCTCAACTCTTGAATGCGTCTTAGAATTTAATAAACCAGCTTGAATAAATGTGAAGGGAAATTTAACGGGAATTCGCGTTTGAGGTATTAAAATGTAATGCTCCAAAAAAAGCGCAAACGTTTAATAAACCAGCTTAACAGAAAACCCTGAAAGTATTTTACCTCAAACTCTCGAAACCGTGGACGAGTTTCACAAATTACGATTTAAAGCTTTCGTGACTGCAGGGATTCATATTCTTGGTTTTTTTTAGGTAAAGTCACGTAGAAGGGAAATCTTTTTATTTTATTATTCCCCTTCTACGTGACTTTACCGAAAGAACCAAGAAGACGAGTTTCACAAACTCAACCGAGGAGAGAACGAACCGAGTGAAAGTTAAAGATTTTCCTGAATCTGCCAATGTGCTGTTGAAGTTACAAAACAAATAGGCACAACATTCATCCAATCAACCAAAGACCCACCGCTCACAATCCCCAACAACTTTTCGACATCCGCATCATCAATCACCCACGATCTTATCCACTGCTGGATGAATTCATCTCCCCCCCCCCCCCCATCCCAACAATCCACGGCCATCTCTCACGATCTCGCGGAGGACACAACAATCCCACAAAGTACCTGCACACAAAAGCTTCTTTCATTATCGTTCCATCTTCTCGGGGTTTTTGTGCGTGTCGCGTCCGCGCGCATCAAACAAAAGGCTTGTGAAGTGTAAGGCATTACGAGACGATATGGAAAAGTAAGACGCAACTCTCCCAAGTTGTGCCCGGTGCCAATAGTTATAATATACATCACACAACGCTCACAAGGTTATACTACGGACGTACAATATTTTTTTCTTTAAAACACAAGCCGGGAGGGAAGTTGCGTCTTATAATCTGTAGGGAAAGTTAATAAGTTTGTATTATATAATTAAAAATAAAACTTTTTTTTTTACCTCTCGCGGGCCTCAGCAGCGGGCTCGCCTGACGCGCCTGCGGGAAGCCCGCGCCGCAGGCCTCGGCCGCGCTGAGCCCGGCGTAGGCGGCGCCGCCCGAGAGCACCGCGTCCGAGCTCGCCTGGCGCGCGTGCGGGCAGCCTGCGGCGCGGGCCTCGGGCGGCCTGAAGAACGACTCGGGCAGCTTGCGTTTGCGCATGGGCACCGACTGCGGCATGTTGGCGGCGCCCGGGTTCATCACGGCGTTAAAGAGCGCCTCCAGGTCCGTGGCTGAGTCGGCGCGGGAGGTCACCACATGCTGCTGCTGCTGGTGTTCATGTTGAAGTTGATGTTGTTGGTGATGTTGCTGCTGCTGATGGCGTTGGAGGTGGTGGTCGGGATGGTGGTGATGGTTGTTGTTGTCTTCGTCCATTGTGCTTGCTGGTTTTGGTAGTCTTAGATTATTGGCAATGTTAGGATTGAGTCGGTGCCTGTTGTGATGGTTCGTCAAGGCTTGATGATCCTGGTTGGATTTTGCACTTGTTAAAGTTTTGACACAGGTGTTATGATTTAGATGGTTGATATCACTTGGGTTTGATAGATTGGCACTATTTCGATGGCACTTAAGGGCTGAACGTAGATCACTTGTATTTGAAACTAAAGTACCGATATCTTTATTGACTATAGATTTTAAACTTTTCTAAGTCTGGTGACACTTATATTTGGCACTATTAGAGATTTGGCACTCGTGACTTTATTATGAAAGGTCTGTCACTGTTAGTGGTAATTATAATCAGTGTGATCGTGAAGTGAAAACAGTGATTATAAATCGTTATGGCGTGAATACAAAATGCCAATTTTGTTAGTGATATAAAAATTAGTCGGAGTTAATTGTAGTGTGCAATCGTAATTTTATCACTGGTAATCTTTACGTTATTAGTCACGTTATTAGTAGTAATTGTAGTGTAATAGCTCGTACTGCTGTGTTAGGAGCAGTGTTATTGGTAGTGGTGATAGTGGTCAGTTGTGATTTGTGTTTTTTAGCGTTAATAATATCGGCAATTGTGTATACTTACGGAGTTAATTATCACTACTGTCGAGTCTTAATGCAATTATTGTAGCCACAAATTTGGTGATGAATGCGAGCTGTATACACTTGGTTACTATTATTGACAACACACTTTAACAGCTGACGGGTGACATAGGTACGATGACTAAAAAGCAAAGCTAATGACGAAAAAATAAGCGTGTAATTAACTGTAGATGAACTAACAAAAATAAAGCACCAATAAACCACCCAACGCAAATACAAAAACAAGTTGAAGGGGAAAAAAACTTTAGCGATTGTTCGAACTGCTCCCAACCAAACCACTACACCGTTGCAGCAACTCTACAGCTATCATCAACAACAACACAACAACAACAAACTATGAGTGTGAACTTACAACAATGGGAAAACAAACTTCTCATGAGAAAGGAAACATGTTGAGACGACAAGTCTCCCGAGTTGAGTCCCACTCTCCTCCTTCTTCTGCTTCCCTCTCAGCGGCAGGAGGGCCTTCAACCCCCCACCACCCAACCCCGCCGCCGTCGTCGTTGAGTCACTCGCGACTTTAAAGTCTCTCCCCCCACCACCCACCCACCACCACCTCCTCCTCTCGCCTCAACTCTCTCGCTCCCCTCCACTCGCCCTCGAGTCGCCTTCTCTCCTCACCCGGGGGGGTGGTGGTGGTGGTAGTAGCGGGGGGGGGGGAAAGCGCGCGGTGAGTTTCGGTCGAAGTCGTTGTTGGCGACTTTTCGAGCTCGGTCGTAGTTGGCTAGAACAGCGGCGGCGGCGGAGACGACGCGGCGAGGATTATCGAAGCGAGGCGCCGTCGCCTTCGCATCCTCAAACTTTCCCCCAACACACAAAAAAACTCTTCAACGCAGGCCTCGGCTCATTATTCTTGCTTTAATTATGCGTGACGTAACGATTAATTATTCATGAACCCTCCCTCCCTCTCGCTCGCTTCGTAACGTGGAGCTTTGTGCATTATTCATGAACCCGAGACCCTTTGCATGGCGATTTGATTAATTATTCATGAGTACCCCCCCTTCACCCGCTCTGATACGTGACCACTAACCTGATTAATTATTCATGAGTACCCCCCCTTCACCCGCTCTGATACGTGACGTCTCACCTGATTAATTATTCTTGAGCACCCCCTTCACCCGCTCTGATACGTGATGTCTAACCTGATTAATTATTCATGAGCACCCCCCCTTGTCCTGCTCTGAGACGTTACGTCTAACCTGATTCATTATTCATGAGTACCCCCCCCCTTCACCCGCTCTGATACGTGACGTCTAACCTGATTAATTATTCATGAGCACCCCCCCTTGTCCTGCTCTGAGACGTGACGTCTACCCTGATTAATTATTCATGAGTACCCCCCCCTTCACACGCTCTGATACGTGACGTCTAACCTGATTAATTATTCATGAGCACCCCCCTCTTGTCCTGCTCTGATACGTGACGTCTAACCTGATTAATTATTCATGAGTCTCCCCCTTCGTCCACGTGACGTCTAACAAAATTAATTATTCACGAGCCTCCCCCCCCCCTCTTATAGGTGACGTCTTCGCAGAATTAATTATTCATGAGCTCGCGGGAATATGCCGTACTGTTCCGGATTATAAGACGCGCCTTTCCACCCCCAATCTTAAGAGGTAAAGTTGCGGGGGTGTGTGTAACTTCTTATGACACCGGGCACAAGGTTTAGGATGCATCTTGTTTTCCAAAGCGTCCTGTAATGTGGATCATACGGTATTCAGGTAATGCACACATCATACATTTTAATTATTCATGATTTGCGTGTCTTATTGTTGATATTCAACACACGGGTAGCTGACTAATTATTCATTAGGAACTTCCGCTCATATATATTCATGAGATGATGACTCTTCCGACACTTTCCAATGAAAACGAAACTTCGTGAAATGGCATTGTATACACGCTGTTAGCCGAAGTTTGCTTTCACAAAAATGACCGTGCTTTAACCTTTACGCACGCTCAGTTTACAGTTCCACAGTCAGATCTGAAAAACAGTTCTTAAACACACACAGTGGACTATGTTTCGTTCCCACTTTTTTGTTTGTTCTCGTATCGCTCCGCGCACGCTCGAAGTAAAATGTAAGTAGTTCGCCGCTTGACAACACGTCACTGCTCGCTATGACGTCATCGTAAACATGACGCAATGTATCGTCAATCCAAGACGAGGGGACACATTGGCGTTGGCAGTCCCCGAACACACTGGGGTAACCTTACACCGCAGTAAGGCCGTAATTATAATATATATTGGGGCACATCACCCCCCCCAATATTCAAATATTCTCAAAATGTCCCCCCCCCCAATATATTGCTATAAAATAGATTTCTGTTTATATGATTGTGGTTACGGTTGTACTGAATAAATCCCTAATCTCTGCCATTACATACAATAAAACAAGAAAAGGTAAAAAAGAAAAAAACAGAGCAATGTAATACAATAACACTATTAGACATCATTGTTAAAAATAAATAAAAAGTCAATCCCATGTGTTAGTGAATTTTTTTTTATATTTTAGGCAGGAAATTACTTTCAAATTTCGATTTGTTTTCTTTTCTGGGGGGGGGGGGGGCCCCAGACCCCCTGGAAGAATTGGTCCCCCCCAATGTTGACTCCATGGCTACGGCCTTGCACCGCAGCAATCAGAACATCCTTTTCATTCGTGGAAAATGAAAGATAAATCACAACAAGTGCGGCTGCGGCAATGCAACCTAAACTATGGACCATAAGCCACTGTTGTTAGTGTGCCCTCCTTCAATGAACTCTCTCATGAAGCCCTCTCCTGGCTAGCAGACCTTGGCAATTGCCATTTAGCCCCTAAACGTATTGCCACCCACAAGAGTAGAATACAATTTTCCAATGCGCTGCTTGCTGGGTCACTTGTCTCTCTATCCGTTCTCACGTCTCCACGTCCACCACCAGGTCGACTCATCCTCAAATTGAGGAACAGTGCTGCGCCTGGTGTGGTGCTAATAATCACTGGGTGTGCAAACATCGCCACTGCTGGGGGGGGGGGAGACAAAGGCGGCCGGGCGTGGTGCTGGCCACCCACCCCCGTCGTGTGCCACAGTGCCGGCCTTAATAGGTGCTCACGAACAACGCCTGTACTGTACTTGCCTCAACGGTCCGCTAAAAAGGCCACGGCGGGGCATCTTTGTCTTTTGTCCACCAGATGGAGGTGGTGGGGGTGGGGGTGGTGTAGGTGGGGGTGGTGTAGGTGGGGGTGGGTGTAGGTGGGGGTGGTGTAGGTGGGGATGGTGTAGGTGGGGGGGGTGGTGGGGGTGGTGTAGGTGGGGGGGTGTAGGTGAGGGTGGTGTAGGTGGGGGTGGTGTGGTGGGGGTGGTGTGGTGGGGGTGGTGTAGGCGGGGGGGTGTAGGTGGGGGTGGTGTAGGTGGGGGTGGTGTGGTGGGGGTGGTGTAGGTGGGGGTGGTGTAGGTGGGGGTGGTGTAGGTGGGGGTGGTGTGGTGGGGGTGGTGTAGGTGGGGGTGGTGTAGGTGGGGGTGGTGTAGGTGAGGGTGGTGTAGGTGGGGGTGGTGTAGGTGGGGGTGGTGTAGGTGGGGGGTGGTGTGGTGAGGGTGGTGTAGGTGGGGGTGGTGTGGGGGGGTGAGGGTGGTATAGGTGGGGGTGGTGTGATGGGGTAGGTGGGGGTGGTGTAGGTGGGGGTGGTGTAGGTGGGGGTGGTGTAGGTGGGGTGGTGTAGGTGGGGGTGGTGTAGGTGGGGGTGGTGTAGGTGGGGGTGGTGTAGGTGGGGGTGGTGGTGTGGTGGGGGTGGTGTAGGTGGGGGTGGTGTAGGTGGGGGTGGTGTAGGTGGGGGTGGTGTAGGTGGGGGTGGTGTAGGTGGGGGTGGTGTAGGTGGGGGTGGTGTAGGAGTGGGGGGTGAAGTGAATGTCCCAACTCCAGCCCCCCCAACTCCAGCCCATCCTCCCCTCCCCCATCTCGAACTCTCATAGGCCCGTCCTTTGTCACGTGCCGACAAATTTGAGCCAATCGCGTGGCTCGTTGCTTTTGGAGGGGGAGGTGCTGTGTGGAGGGGTCCATGGCACCGCGGGACGCAGAGCGGACGGAGTCTCTCTGTGTCGTCGCCGCCGCCGCTGCTGCTGCTGTTATCGCCGCGGCTTTTGTCGCTGCGGTCGTTACCGCTGCGATCGCCGCCGGTGGTTGTCGTCGCCGCTGCGAGCGGGGCCGCGCGGAGATATTGAGGCGCGGGGACCCGCGAGCGGAAAGGCCGCGCTCCCAAGGCGCGCTCGGCGAGGAAGGGCCCAAAGGCGTCCATCGCAGCGGCTCACGTGGTGTGTGTGGGGTGATGTGTGGCGTGGTGTGATGTGTGGTGTGATGTGTGGTGTGATGCGTGGTGTGATGTGTGGCGCGGTGTGATGTGTGGCGTGGTGTGATGTGTGATGTGATGTGTGGCGTGGTGTGATGTGATGTGTGATGTGTGGCGTGATGTGATGTGTGGTGTGATGTGTGGCGTGATGTGTGGCGTGGTGTGTGGCGTGGTGTGATGTGTGGCGTGGTGTGTGGCGTGGTGTGATGTGTGGCGTGGTGTGTGGCGTGGTGTGATGTGTGGCGTGGTGTGTGGCGTGGTGTGATGTGGTGGTGATTGATTTGTGTATGGTGTGAGTGTGGGGTGTGTGTTTGCGGGTCTATCATAAAGGTCCATAGGGTTTGCGTGTCTGTCACGTCCGTGCATGTTATCTGTATATCAGAAGGCATGTGGGGACCGGTAGTTTATAACGGTTAGCGCGCCACGCTACGAACCCGGCCACCCAAGTTCGATTCCCGATCACAGCCACCAACATCAGCGGCGATCATCTGAACCGGTCCTGGGCCTCTCCTAGGTCGACTCAGACTCAAAATTAGTACCTGGTGCGGTGAGTAAACATCGCCACTAGGGAGATGGGGGCGGCCGGGCGTGGTGCTGGCCACCCGCCCCATCGTGTGCCGCGCCGGCCTTCATACAGTGAGGGAAAAAAAGTATTTGATCCCCTGCTGATTTTGTACGTTTGCCCACTGACAAAGAAATGATCAGTCTATAATTTTAATGGTAGGTTTATTTGAACAGTAAGAGACAGAATAACAACAACAAAATCCAGAAAAACGCATGTCAAAAATGTTATAAATTGATTTGCATTTTAATAAAGGAAATAAGTATTTGACCCCCTCTCAATCAGAAAGATTTCTGGCTCCCAGGTGTCTTTTATACAGTAACGAGCTGAGATTAGGAGCACACTCTTAAAGGGAGTGCTCCTAATCTCAGCTTGTTACCTGTATAAAAGACACCTGTCGACAGAAGCAATCAATCAGATTCCAAACTTTCCACCATGGCCAAGACCAAAGAGCTCTCCAAGGATGTCAGGGACAAGATTGTAGACCTACACAAGGCTGGAATGGGCTACAAGACCATTGCCAAGCAGCTTGGTGAGAAGGTGACAACAGTTGGTGCGACTTCACAAATGGAAGAAACACAAAAGAACTGTCATTCTCCCTCGGTCTGCGGCTCCATGCAAGATCTCACCTCGTGGAGTTGCAATGATCATGAGAACGGTGAGGAATCAGCCCATAACTACACGGGAGGATCTTGTCAATGATCTCAAGGCAGCTGGGACTATAGTCATCAAGAAAACAATTGGTAACACACTACGCCGTGAAGGACTGAAATCCTGCAGCGCCCGCAAGGTCCCCCTGCTCAAGAAAGCACATATACATGCCCGTCTGAAGTTTGCCAATGAACATCTGAATGATTCAGAGGACAACTGGGTGAAAGTGCTGTGGTCAGATGAGACCAGAATGGAGCTCTTTGGCATCAACTCAACTCGCCGTGTTTGGAGGAGGAGGAATGCTGCCTATGACCCCAAGAACACCATCCCCACCGTCAAACATGGAGGTGGAAACATTATGCTTTGGGGGTGTTTTTCTACTAAGGGGACAGGACAACTTCACCGCATCAAAGGGACGATGGACGGGGCCATGTACCATCAAATCTTGGGTGAGAACCTCCTTCCCTCAGCCAGGGCATTGAAAATGGGTCGTGGATGGGTATTCCAGCATGACAATGACCCAAAACACACGGCCAAGGCAACAAAGAAGTGGCTCAAGAAGAAGCACATTAAGGTCCTGGAGTGGCCTAGCCAGTCTCCAGACCTTAATCCCATAGAAAATCTGTGGAGGGAGCTGAAGGTTCGAGTTGCCAAACGTCAGCTCTCGAAACCTTAATGACTTGGAGAAGATCTGCAAAGAGGAGTGGGACAAAATCCCTCCTGAGATGTGTGCAAAACTGGTGGCCAACTACAAGGAACGTCTGACCTCTGATTGCCAACAAGGGTTTTGCCACCAAGTACCAAGTCATGTTATGCAGAGGGTTCAAATACTTATTTCCCTCATTAAAATGCAAATCAATTTATGACATTTTTGACATGTTTTTCTGGATTTTGTTATTCTGTCTCTCACTGTTCAAATAAACCTACCATTAAAATTGTAGACTGATCATTTCTTTGTCAGTGGGCAAACGTACAAAATCAGCAGGGATCAAATACTTTTTTTCTCTCACTGTAGGTGCTCGCTAACAGCACTTGCTCCTACAGTCTGTTAAGTTTATACGGGGGATCTTTGTATCAGAAGTTGTGCGTATCTTTCACAGGTTGTGTATGTTGTGTGCGTGTCTGTCACAAGTTCTGCATGGCATCGTCCCCTTCTCCAGACGCCGAGGGAAAATGGGCGAGTTTCAAGACAGCGACTCGTGCAGCTGCTATGGCTGCTATGATACCATCAATAAGCGAGAAGCTCTGCTTTTGTCCCAGACCACCTACTCGCAATCATGAAGGGCCTTCATGATGGCAGCTAAAACGCAGAGAGTTGGCACAGTGGGGAACACCGTTGGTGCATCTACCAGCCATCTCAGTCAATCAATGGCACCTGGGTCTGTTCCGTGACCTGCCATCGGGCTTTCGACACTTCACGTGGCCTCAAAGTGCACCTAGCATGGCACAAGCCAAATGGTGGCATCACCCGCCACTTTGTGGTAAACGGCGGTTGTTGTGTGGGGAAGGGTGATTCCAGGGGTGTGTGTGGTGAACGCATGGTGTGCAGGGTTTGTGCAGCATACGTAAAGTCTGATGTGTAGTATGTGAATCTGTGATGGGGATAGGTGCACCTAGCCTGGCACAAGCAACGTGGTGATGTCACTACCACTCGGTGGCGAATCGCGATTGTTATTGTTGCTAGTGCGTGGCGTGTGCTCATTGGTGCAATGGGTACATGGTGTTTTAGTGTATGTACTTGGTGAGTTGGGCGTCTGTACATGGCATGATGTGTGTATGTCTGGTTTGTCCACTTTGTGTGTGGCGTTTGTATGTGGAGTGGGCACATACCTGTCAACCCCTTATCAGTGCCTCCTTTATTACAGACCAATTCAGATAGTATCGGTCACCCCGTGCCCCTTATAAATCTCAACATTCATCCTACAAAGTCCCATCACAAGGGAGAACACACAAAGACACGTGTGCAATACGTGTACACGTGTGTCCACGTGCATGTATGTATATTGTGTATGATTGGTGTATGTGTGGAGAGTAGTTGAGCTGGCCACACCCACCCCCTTGTGTGCCGTGCCGGCCATTATCGGTGTTCGCTAACAGCACTTGCCCGAACAGTCTGTTAAGGTTGTATGTGGTATCTTTGTGTGTATATGCGGTGCGTCGTGTGAGAACGTATTGTTGGGTGCGTGTGTGTGTGTGTGTTGGATCCGATGCATGCACATGGTGTGTATGTGTGTACATGTTAACCCTGACATAGATATGTGGAATTTCCACCACTGGTTGAGAGGATAAGTACCTGGATGCATTTGACTTTTCTCGTTTGTGATTGTCATTACAGTGGTGCAAGAAGCCAACAATAAATTAGCAACTGAACTCTCGCGGGCAAGAGCCAGTTCCTTTGAGCAGCAGAAGAAATGTTCGAGGATGAATGGGAGAGGAGATAACAGCGCTCTTCATCTACCCTCTCTGAGTCTCAAGACTCGTTCTCACGAGGGTCCTGCATGTGGGAATTCAACCTGGGTGCCAGGAGAGAACCCACACCTGCAAGTGGCCAAGGGGACGATGCTCAATGCCCCGCTGTGCAGATAGGTAGTCAGCACCAAACCTACTTCCTGTACTCTGGCTTCAACACTGAAACAATCCGAAATCATGCGGACGATGGATGCGACACGGCTGGGAAACCGCCGCCCTTAATGACCTCGCCGAAAATGTTGACAGCATTGTCAACCTCACCTTGTCCTCCGACATCACCATCATCGTCACCATCATCGTCGCTGTTGAGCGATCCCAATTCCGGCCGTGTCTTGCAGCAGCTGGCGGTGCCACCGTGTGCGTCGGCTGCCAGAAATTCGCCACCACCACCATTGCAGGCAGAGGAGGCTGCGTCCCAGGTTGCAGAGAAGTATGGTCGTCCGGATCTGGGGCAGAGGCGTCCGTGCCTGAAGCGAAGGCCAGGGGGAGTGAGGCGGTTGAATCGATTCCGGCGGCTGCGGTTGGTTTGGGCGCCGGAAATCTTGCGGTTGTTCCACCCCTTGTTATTTGGCGGTTGTTGGGTGGGGAGGCGTGGTGCGACGCCACGGTGTGGGGGTGGAATGAGAGCAGGCGATGGGGAGAGGAAGAATGAACGGAGAGGGAGGAAGATGGAGGAGGAAGGGAAGGGAAGGCGCAAGCGTAGTCGGGGGAAAGGTAGTGGGAGGGATGAGACAGGAGGGATAGGGGGAAGCAGAGGAGGGGAGAGTGGAGGCGAGAGGTGGAGGGAGAGAGGAAATGGAGGGAGAAAAGGAAGAGAGAGCTGTAGGCGGACAGATCAAGGGACAGAGAATAAAGATAGAGATCGGTGTAGAGATGGAGATAGGGGAGGAGGGTGGTGGAGAGATGCAGAGGGAGATGAACGGAGGGATTCTGGTAGAGACAGGGAGAGATGGGGAGAGAGTCGTAAAGAGAGGGACAGAAAGAGATGGGAAGAGAGAGACAGAGGGAAGGAAAGAAGGGAAGACAGAGGGAGACACGACGAGAGACACAGAAAGAGGGACCGAGACTGGGACCGAGACAAGGACAGGAGGGGCGACCGAGAGAGACACAGGGACAGAGAGAGGTACAGGGAAGGAAGACACGGGGAGAGAGATAAAGACAGATGGAGAGACAGAGACAAGGGGAGAGACAGAAACAGGGGGAGAGATGAAGACCGGGATAAGGAGGAGAAGGGTGGTTGGCCAAGCAAGAGGCGGCGAGATGATCTGGAAGTCGGCGCTGGGAATACACGAGGGCAAGAGACTGCTTCAGGAGACACGAACAATGTCGACGCAGAGATGAAAGTGACTGACACCAGAGACACGAAGGCAGACAGCAGCAGGGGAACAAAGGGGGACAATGAGGGAAAGGGAGATGTGGGAAGCTCAGAGGAGCGCCCCAGAGGGGAGGAGAGGCACACAGAGAGGGCCTCGCTTCAACCAAAGACAGGAATGATGGGGAGCGCCGGCGATGAAAAATCTGGAATCTCCGTGAGTGATGGAGTTTGTGAATCTGAAACAATTAGTAAGAACCGTACAGAGGAATTGAGAGCGTTGAAAAATTCTGGAGGGAATACATTTAGTATGATTTGTAGTGACAATGGAGGAAAGTTGATAACGAGCATTGATGAAGGTGGTAGACTGTTGGGAGCGATTGGAAGCGATGTTGACCAGGAATTGGGAACGATCTGCATTGGTAGCGAGAGTGGATCGGGAACCGTCGTGAATAATGGAAATCAGGGTTTGGGAATCTTTTGCAAATCTGATGAACAGGAATCTGGGATAATTGGGAATGATGGTACGGGGAAAATGGTGATGATGCAAAGCTGTGGACACCTGGAATTGAAAGCAAACAGGAATGACGATGGTAGATCAAGAGCGATCAGGACCGTTGACAAGGGTGAATGTGGAACAATCGGGACCAATCAAATAAAACAAGGAAGGATCGGGAAGAGCGGCTCGGGTAAAATCGTAAGACTCGAGAACACCGGAGTTTGGAAAATCGGACTGACTGTCGGTCGGGAAGTGGATATTGATGCTTCCACGGATTCCGCTGGACAAGGCCCGATGAGGAATGGCGGTGGCAACAAAATCTACGTGGACAGCGAGGATGACGATGACGGAGTTGGCGACAGGCAGCGTGACGTCGTTGTCACTTACAAGAAGAACATGCTGACCAGAGAGGATCTGATGTGTCTGCAGGGGAGTGCGTGGCTCAATGATCAGGTGCCTGCCGGGCTGTGTACCGTCGTGTGTGTGTGTGCGCACCGAATGCATCTGCCTGCCATCTCAGTCAACCCATGGCACCTGGGTCTGTTCCGTGACCTGCCAGCAGCGGGCCTTCGACACTTCATGTGGCCTCAAAGTGCACCCAGCATGGCACAAGCGCCATGGTGATGTCACCACCACATAGTGGTGAACGCGGGTTGCTGTTGTTGCATCATAGCTCTCCAAAAGCATTTTCCCCAATGGGCTATGAGACTAAAGGATACGCGTATGTGTCCACATGGGTGTGTGTGTGTGCGCACGTTCATGAGGAGCGGTGGCACAGTGATGTTAGTGTACTGCGCTACAAACCCGGAGACCCGAATTCGATTCCTGTTCATGGCTAATCTCGGTGATGACTGTCTGAATCGGTGCTGGGCCTCGCCTGGGTCTACACAGCCTTAGAAACGAGTACTTAGTGCAATGTATAAAACATCACCATTTAGGAGACAAAGGGTGGCCGGGTGTGGGGCAAACCACAACACCCCCTCGTGTGTTGTGATGGCCTTCATAGGTGCTCGCCATTACAGCACTTGCACAAACAGTATGTTAAGTCTACGGTGGGGGGGGGGGGTCTTCATCTTCGTGTGGTTGTGGGTCTCTGTGTGTACCTGTGCTGTAAACTACCCTGGCAGCTCATGATCACAAATCGCCTTTTTAAATACTGTCAGGAAATCGCATACAGCACAAACCCCATCATCACCATCCTCAAGGGGAAGAATGGCGATCTGATCTCTGACTCTAGGAACAGGTTTGAATGTATCGCTGGATAGGTGTTGGGAGGGACTTGATGACATCATCATAGCGTCACACTGGGCGTGGCTTGTAGGGGGTTTCCTGCCTTCGGGAGGTAGGATGTGGGGATGGCTGTCATTTTTAAAGGGGTCTGAGTAATTGACCATACACAAGAAATCGGTTATAAAAAAATAGAAATGTATTAATCGACTTGGTAATCGAATCTTTCAGCGTTCATTGTCTCAAACCGACGCTGGTGAACTGCCAGATATTTGCAGGCAAGGATGCTCACTGTTAGTTACGGGTCTTAATTCTATGCAAAACTGTGGAATACTTCACAAAAGCTAATCGTTTGCTTTGCAGAGCTGAAAACCATTCTGACGTTTGCTCGTGTTGAACCAATGCTGCTGAAACAAAAATCACACCCAGAAGACTGTGTGCAGTCTATGAGATGTGTAAAAAAAATGTTTTTGTTATGCGGAGAGAGAGGGGTGAAGGAGGCGTGTATCGTCTCATCATCTATTTATTTCCCGGTGCGCAGGTGATCAATGTATACGGGGAGATGCTGGCAAACCTGAAACCAGATGAGGTAAGGATCCCTTTTTAATGTATGCATGTTTAACTTCTTTAGCACCATACGTAGCCAACCGTCCTAAATCGGAGGTGCGCAGGGAATGACAAACTAAATACAAAAAGCAGTTCTAAAGAAATGAGCTCTCAATCTAGATTTAAAAGCGCATAGCTCCAGTGGCTTCCTAATATCGGAAGGAAGAGCGTTCCAGATGGTCGCAGAAGCGCATCTGAAAGCGCACGATACGGTGACCGTCTTTGTTCGATGGCGAGCTAAAAGCCGCTACTGCAAGGATGACCGGAGTTCACATGGTTTATGCTCCTTAACGAGATCAGCAAGATATTTTGGTTCATTTGTGCCAAGCATTTTGTGTGTAATGTGACCTTACAATGCATTCGTTCGGCAACCGGAAGCCAATGCAGCTCCAGTGAGCACTGAATGAACGCGGTTGGATCTTGCTGTACCCATCGCAGAACTCAAACGCAGTTCGTTGTCGCGCTCAAATCTTATCGACGGTAACTCCTGGCGTCTCTCAAACGTCTCGCCCCTCGTCTCTCTTTTGTCTCCTCCCACCCACGTCTCTCTTCGTCTCCCCCAGGTGTACTATTTCACCAGCTTTTTCTACAGCCACCTCAAACGTCGCGGCTACGACGGCGTGAAGCGATGGACCAAGAAGGTACGGAGCTCGGGAATTAAACGCCAACATCACCGCTGCCATCGTTGCTTGTAATAAACATGGCCGTTGCCATCGCCATCACTGCTTGTATCACTGGCATTGGCACCATCTCCATCAGAAGTATCAACATCATCATAATCTTCATCACTGGTGTCATCGTCAGCGCTGTCGTCACTGGTAGAGGGTGGCGGTGTCTCTGCGTGCGAGTAGCTCTCGGCGGTGTCTCTGTGTGTGAGTAGCTCTCGGCGGTGTCTCTGCGTGTGAGTAGCTCTCGGCGGTGTCTCTGTGTGTGAGTAGCTCTAGGCGGTGTCTCTGGGTGTGAGTAGATCTCGGCGGTGTCTCTGCGTGTGAGTAGCTCTCGGCGATGTCTCTGCGTGCGAGTAGCTCTCGGCGGTGTCTGTGTGTGTGAGTAGCTCTCGGCGGTGTCTCTGTGTGTGAGTAGCTCTCGGCGGTGTCTCTGGGTGTGAGTAGCTCTCGGCGGTGTCTCTGGGTGTGAGTAGCTCTCGGCGGTGTCTCTGCGTGTGAGTAGCTCTCGGCGGTGTCTCTGGGTGTGAGTAGCTCTCGGCGGTGTCTCTGTGTGTGAGTAGCTCTCGGCGGTGTCTCTGTGTGTGAGTAGCTCTCGGCGGTGTCTCTGGGTGTGAGTAGCTCTCGGCGGTGTCTCTGGGTGTGAGTAGCTCTCGGCGGTGTCTCTGGGTGTGAGTAGCTCTCGGCGGTGTCTCTGGGTGTGAGTAGCTCTCGGCGGTGTCTCTGTGTGTGAGTAGCTCTCGGCGGTGTCTCTGGGTGTGAGTAGCTCTCGGCGGTGTCTCTGGGTGTGAGTAGCTCTCGGCAGTGTCTCTGGGTGTGAGTAGCTCTCGGCGGTGTCTCTGGGTGTGAGTAGCTCTCGGCGGTGTCTCTGGGTGCGAGTAGATCTCGGCGGTGTCTCTGCGTGTGAGTAGCTCTCGGCGGTGTCTCTGTGTGTGAGTAGCTCTCGGCGGTGTCTCTGCGTGTGAGTAGCTCTCGGCGGTGTCTCTGGGTGTGAGTAGCTCTCGGCGGTGTCTCTGGGTGCGAGTAGCTCTCGGCGGTGTCTCTGCGTGTGAGTAGCTCTCGGCGGTGTCTCTGGGTGTGAGTAGCTCTCGGCGGTGTCTCTGCGTGTGAGTAGCTCTCGGCGGTGTCTCTGGGTGTGAGTAGCTCTCGGCGGTGTCTCTGGGTGTGAGTAGATCTCGGCGGTGTCTCTGCGTGTGAGTAGCTCTCGGCGGTGTCTCTGTGTGTGAGTAGCTCTCGGCGGTGTCTCTGTGTGTGAGTAGCTCTCGGCGGTGTCTCTGGGTGTGAGTAGCTCTCGGCGGTGTCTCTGGGTGTATGTAGCTCTCAGCGGTGTCTCTGTGTGTGAGTAGCTCTCAGCGGTGTCTCTGCGTGTGAGTAGGTGTCTGTGTTCTCGCGCCGTCTGCTCCTCCTGCCCCTGCACCTGGGTCTGCACTGGGCGCTAGGCGTCGTGCGGCTCCAAACGCACGAAATCTCACTCTACGACTCGGCCCCAAGCCCGGCGACCACCGCCTGCCTCACGGTAACCACAGCAACCACCTAGCATAACCATGGCAACAACTGCTCGCCTCACGGTAACCACGGTAACTACCGCATATCGTAACCATGGCAACATTCGCCTGCTTACAGTAACCACGACAACCATTGCCTCGCATAACCTCTGCCTAGCATAACCGCGGCATCCATAGCCTGCCTCAGTAACCACGGCAACCACTGCCTGCCTCAGTAACCACGGCAACCACTGCCTGACTCATGGTATCCACAGCAACCACTGCCCAGCTTAATCACAGTAACTAGCTGAGATAACCACACTTACGAGTCATTAATATAGGTTAAATCTCGATTTTAAGCTTTTGTGAATCCATACTCTTTGGTTCTTTCGGTAAAGTCACGTAGGTAGAAAAACAAAATAAATCACGTTTCGGGCTGTATTGTTTCACCTGAAGACGATGGATTGTGTTGCTATCGAAACATCACGATTTATTCGTTATTTTTTCTATCTACGTGACATTACCGAAAGAACCAAAGAGCATCAATATAGGCTTCTCCAAAAGGCTCCCCGCTCGCTGCCCTGTGCTCTTTGCTAACAACATCCGACGAGTACAAAAATCAATCTGCCTCGAGCATTGTGAAAAAATCCATCAACAGTTCCTGAAGAAATACATCGCGGTGGCCACCTCTTGCCGAGGTCACCAAACAAATGGTAGCAGATGCAGCGAGATCGACGACTCGTGGGCCGGCTTCGTCCTTATTAGGACGCATCGATACAGCGTTGTCCCCAAATGTTAGTGACCCGCGCTCGTCCTGTGTCACCTCAGATCATGTCCCGGTACCTCACCGAGGAGGCCAAGGCGCGAGATCGCCCGGACCTCAAGGGGCCCTGGAGCATCCACCTCCCCAAGGTGAGAGCTTCCTCCTGCTACCCGGGGCTTCTCTGCTCCTCCATGCTGCTACGTTCATCTCTATGCTTCTGTGTTTCTCCGCATCTCCCCATGCTTTCCTTTGTGCTTTCTGAGGTGAGTGGATCCCGGTGAGTCTGTGGGTCTCTGTGTGCACGTGCAGTCAATGATGACTTGGCTGAGACACTCATCTCCTCCCCCCCTCCTGCGCCAACACCGAGAACCCGGCAGACTTGAGACCCGGATTTGAAGCCAGGGCCTCCATGGCGTCAGCTTGGCGCTCTGACCTCTGACCCACCCGATCACCTCCCATCATCATTCATAGTTTTAACAGAATGAATCGGACCAATTCTGTTTCGACTGCTTCGGGTCATTCACTCGTGGGTGTGCTTGCTACCTTGTGTCGTGCTCGTTTTGCAGCGCAGACTTAAATAACAGGCGGTGATGATGATGGTTAAAGAGTAAGACTAATCGTTGTTTTATATTTGCAGAATTTACCGCGGCAAATGAATGGCAACGACTGCGGGGTCTTCGTGCTGGAGGTGAGCGGAGTCATTCGCCCCCGTGTAAAGGCGCTAGCTCGCTCATCCACACATCGATTCATTTGCTTAATCACTGGGCGACCTACTTAAGTGAGAACTCGCCCACTTACTCGCTCCCTCGGTTAACTCTGAATAATCACTCAATCAACTCTCAACTCACGTTGGTTAGAGGTGCGAGCACTCGCCCATGCATTTGGTCACTCACCCACCCGTACAATTGCTAATTCACTCACCTACCCACCTACTCACGAACCTACTTGCTCGCTCACTCATCCATTCACTTAGTCGCTCGCTAGCCAACTCATTTGCACTCGCCCATGAACTCAACTACCTACCAATTCAGTCGACCCACATTCTCATGCAGTGACTCGCTCATTCATCCACCCTCTTGTCATTTACTTGCTCACCCACTCGCCCAGGTGCGTTTTAAGTATTTGGTTGCAATAAAATGTCCAAATGATAAGCCGCTACTTAATTGGGCTATTATGATGCCCAGGTCGCTTCTAAAAAGAGCTATTATAGCTCAGTTGGCCTTACCAGGGAAAATAAAACGTTTTAGTTTCGCATTCCCTTGCTCACGCATGAACCACACTGCCCAGCACTAAAACACCCACCCACTCAGCTAATTACGTCCCTCACTCACGCGTTTACCACACCACCTGACACTCAAAACACCTGCCCACACAATTACAATGTCACTCACTCGCGCGTTCCCCACACTACATGGCATTGTGGATACCTTGCACGGTTTTTTGCGGCTCTGCTAGCAACACTTTAGTTGCAACACACTACGGCGGGTTAACGTGCAGGGCATTGATCGCGCGTGTCTGTGTGTGTCCGTGTGTGTGTCCGTGCGTGCAGTACTGCCGCTGTCTGGTGTTAGATCGCCCATTCTCCTTCTCCCAGGCCGACATTCCCCGCATCCGGAGGAGAATTTTCAATGAAATTCAAGAGGGAGTTATCGCTGTCGACAAGTGAAGACTTCGCCCTCATGCCCATCTGCTCGTCTCACCTCATTCTCCCTTGACCTACCATTGCTTCCCATAATTCTGCATCAACGAAGCTTTCATCTCATCTCTCACTATCCCCCTCATCTCCTTCGTCATCCTCTCATCTTCACGTTATTCACTCTAACATCCACATTTATAATCGGTCGCTGGAGTGAGGCTGCCCAGCGGAGTTGCAGACGGGCGGTCAAAATGATAAAAGGATTAACTTATTTTTGTCTTAACGCGAAAATGATCGTTTCTCTTTAATGTATTTTTTCAAAAGGAGTGTGTCAAGATTTCAGAACTTATTCTGCTGCTGAAAAGTGTAAAATTACACTGAAAATACTTCTTTGTGAAGCGCAGAGTGTGTGGGAAAGTGTGCCGGCCTCCAATGTGTGGGCCAGATTCACTTGAAGGGCTCTCAGAAGTACAGTGAGAGAAAAAAGTATTTGATCCCCTGCTGATTTTGTACGTTTGCCCACTGACAAATAAATGATCAGTCTATAATTTGAATGGTAGGTTTACTTGAACAGTGAGAGACAGAATAACCACAAAAAAATCCAGAAAAACGCACGTCAAAAAATGTTATAAATTGATTTGCATTTTAATGAGGGAAATAAGTATTTGACCCCCTCTCAATCAGAGATTTCTGGCTCCCAGGTGTATTTTATACAGGTAACAAGCTGAGATTAGGAGCACACTTAAAGGGAGTGTTCTAATCTCAGCTTGTTACCTGTATAAAAGACACCTGTCCACAGGAGCAATCAATCAGATTCCAAACTCTCCACCATGGCCAAGACCAAAGAGCTCTCCAAGGATGTCAGGGACAATATTGTAGACCTACACAAGGCTGGAATGGGCTACAAGACCATTGCCAAACAGCTTGGTGAGAAGGTGACAACAGTTGTTGCGATTATTCGCAAATGGAAGAAACACAAAAGAACTGTCAATCTCCATGTAAGATCTCACCTCGTGGAGTTGCAATGATGATGAGAACGGTGAGGATCAGCCCAGAACTACACGGGAGGATCTTGTCAATTATCTCAAGGCAGCTGGGACCATAGTCACCAAGAAAACAATTGGTAACACACTACGCCGTGAAGGACTGAAATCCTGCAGCGCCTGCAAGGTCCCCCTGCTCAAGAAAGCACATATATATGCCCGTCTGAAGTTTGCCAATGAACATCTGAATGATTCAGAGGACAACTGGGTGAAAATGTTGTGGTCAGATGAGACCAAAATGGAGCTCTTTGGCATCAACTCAACTCGCCGTGTGTGGAGGAGGAGGAATGCTGCCTATGACCCCAAGAACACCATCCCCACCGTCAAACATGGAGGTGGAAACATGCTTTGGAAGGTGTTTTTCTGCTAAGGGGACAGGACAACTTCACTGTATCAAAGGGACGATGGACGGAGCCATGTACCGTCAAATCTTGAGTGAGAACCTCTTTCCCTCAGCCAGGGCATTGAAAATGGGTCGTGGATGGGTATTCCAGCATGACAATGACCCAAAACACACGGCCACGGCAACAAAGAAGTGGCTCAAGAAGAAGCACATTAAGGTCCTGGAGTGGCCTAGCCAGTCTCCAGACCTTAATCCCATAGAAAATCTGTGGAGGGAGCTGAAGGTTCGAGTTGCCAAACGTCAGCCTCGAAACCTTAATGACTTGGAGAACTGCAAAGAGTGGGACAAAATCCCTTCTGAGATGTGTGCAAACCTGGTGGCCAACTACAAGAAACGTCTGACCTAAAGGTTTTGCCACCAAGTACTAAGTCATGTTTTGCAGAGGGTTCAAATACTTATTTCCCTCATTAAAATGCAAATCAATTTATAACATTTTTGACATGCGTTTTTCTGGATTGTATTATTCTCTCACTGTTCAAATAAACCTACCATTAAAATTATAGACTGATCATTTCTTTGCCAGTGGGCAAACGTACAAAATCAGCAGGGGATCAAATACTTTTTTCCCTCACTGTAGCTCTGCGTTATCCGCTTCGGGTGGAACGTTCTCACACGAAGGACGAAACCCTATTATGCGAGATATCCCAATGAATTCTTCATCGTGACACCACACCAGTCGGGGTAAAATGTGCGTAAAAAAATATGCCACGATCAATCTGCACCTTCCCAATTGATGTGAATGTGAGATTAGAGATGGTGTTTTCAAATCGAAGCCCACTAACACCTTGATTTACGTTGATTAATCCACGTAATGATCTGGCAAAATGACTGGCTAAATAATCGTGAAAATATTGAGACTCATCGAGGCTCTGCTGGACAAATAAAGGTCGATTTATTGATTATTGTGGAAGGTTTTTAATCTTAAGGCAGTTTGTGTTGTGTGGCAAGTGTAACAGTTCCAACTTGGTCACATCACCTTTGCTGATCCACTGTTGGGTAAAAGACCTCTCCCAAACAAGTGTCTGTTAAAGGTGGTTTTTGACCATACTTTACCGCACTGGTCATTGCGGGTTTGGTGAAAGAGGGCTCGGGGCCGGCTTGTGATGTCACTTGCTACCGATTTTGGCCACGTGGGGGTATAAATACAGTGGTCGCTGGGTTCATATGGCAGTGCAATAAACTCCTATGCCACCATTCTCCCCTCCCCCTTGAAACACATTTTCTGGAAAACCAGATTGTGGGTTATCAAGTTGTTTTTCAGGACACCGCTCAATTTTACTTCCCCGGGGTATTCGCACAAATATTTATAACAGGACCAATATAAATGCAGAAACTTAAAAAGCAATGGCTGATGGCAAAAAAATTGATTCATCCCTGCAAAGCTGGCATTCAGTGGCGGATGGTGTATGATGGATTGTGTATGACAATCGTGATGACCGCCAGAATCAAAACAAGTTATTGCCAGTTCCGTCGGCGCCTGGATTAAAGTCATTCGGATTTGCGAGTGGATGGAAAAATCCATTCCTGCCTGCTACAGCAGCTGTGTTCGCCCCCTCAGCCTCAACGCAACGTGATCATCTCGTCTGCATTTACAGTAATGTCACGATTATCCGAGGCAATCGCTTGAAGGGGTGGTGTGGATTAAAAAAAACACGGATAGTGCAAAACGTGGAGATGCGGCTATAAAAACAGATTGAGAACACATCGTCTGGTTTTACTGCTGCGTCAAGTAATCGCTTTACTTGCCAACGAGTTTGTAGTCCCGATGACAACTCCCTCGACGAGTAAGGAGCAGCAAACAACCGACACGCGCAACGATTTACTTAGCACGGCCAATCTGTAACCCGCGCATCGGTTAACCGTACAATTTGCCGTGTCGTCAACGCGAGTAATTTTAAGCCGTGATTTCGACGCATCGTTGCGCGATGTAACAATTCCATCTCGCACGCTGGGAATCTCCACGTAAACCAAGGCCCCGTAAGGAATTCCAACGAGGACTTCAAGTCCTGGAGATATAATAAAGGAAATGTAGCCTGTGCCCCCCTGCTGCACACAGCAATTGCTGCCACCAAACATTTTCACAGGCACCAATAATGGCACCCACACCCCCTCCGCGTGAACAATGGCTTCTCAAGCTGTGCGTTGTTCCCATTGGGGCGTGGGGAGGACGAGGAGGAACCAAGCACAGGGGTGATGTTCGTCTGGTCGCTGGGCAAGTTCCTGAAACAAAAAAACGTACGCATCAAATCTGTAAGAAAAATCCCATCGCCAGTGATCATAACAATAACTGTTGAATCCTGATTAGGATGGAAACCGGTTCACAGTTCGTGATTGCCTCGTCAGTCACGTTTGGTGATCAAATGTATTTTGATGGCTGATCAAAGACAGGACCACAATGAATTTCAGTAAATGCTGATTTTTTTGTATATGCACAGTGGCTGTGTGCATTTTCCCCATTCTGTATTGTCTCAAAGACAAAGATCCCCCGTATAACCTTTCACAGACTTGGGGCAAGTGCTGTTAGCAAGCACTTATGAAACGACACATGAAGGGGTGGGTGGCCAACACCATGCCCGGCTGCCTTTGTCTCGCTCATGACGATGTTTACACAACGCACCAGGTATTCATTTGAGGCTGAGTCGACCTAGGGGTGGCCAGGACATATTCAGATACTCGTAACTGGTGTTGGCCGTGAACACGAATTGAACCGGGTTTGTAGTATAGCGCGCTAACCGCTACACTACCGCACCAATACCCGCCATTCCCCAATTAGTGACGGTGACATCACCACAGAGCCTGTGCCAGGCCAGGTGCACTTTGAGGCCACTACCGCTCCACCCAGACACGCACAATGTTAATGATGAACTCTGCAAGTTAACTATGGTGAGAATGGCCCTGTGATGATAACGTGGAATTGCCACCGCTGGTTCAGTGGCATTAAGTGAAGGGTTGGGGGGTGCTTTATACCAGTCACTGTGGGCCACTCCTGGGGTTCTGCTCATCTCCCTGTGGCGACTTGCCTGGCCTCTGCTGCACAAACACAGATACGTATGATTACACACACACACGAGTACCATATACAGGCAGCCCCCGACTTACGAATCATCGTACTTATGAACCAGATTTTATGAAAGAAGTATTTTTTTTTTAAACACGAACTGTCACTTGCAAATTGAACCGCGTAAATATTTTTGTTCAGCCGAGCTATCCTCCGCGAGATGTCAAGACAGTCAGCCTCGTGCTGGGAGTGTGTGGGCATTTAAAGAGCGCATTATTGTGTCCCGACTTACGACCCCCCCGTTCGACTTACGAACGGGTCTCGGGAACGAATGACGCTCGTCAGTCGACGACTGCCCGTACTGTGTACGGGGTGTGGAAATGTAGACACCAATTTCACCACTAAGTGATTGTGACATCACATCGGCGGTTGTGCCAGACTAGGTGCCTTCTGACTCAATAGAGCAGTGTCGGAAGGGTCGCTCGCAGGTCACGGACGAGACGCCGGTGTTCAGAGTAACTTACCGTACCGTAAAATAAGTAACATTAAAAATAAACTTTTTTTTTAAAACACGCTTTAATGAAATGTACCCTACTAGTAATGGAAGAACTCCACGACTCCAGGAAGTGGGCCCGAAGCTTTCCACAACGTAAGGGGGCCGTGGGCCAATTACAGCCAACGTCAGTTTACCGTGGACAATTAGACCCAAGCCGAAACATAACATATACAAAAGATTGTTTAAAACTATATTTTTTATGATAGAATATAGTTATTGTCATCAGTATGACATACGTATACCAAGTTTACAGTCGATACCACATTTGGAAGCGGGTTAAAATTGAGTTACAAGATTTCAGGATACAACAACGACAACAACAGTGAGTTAATAGAAAGCGTGTAATAATCATAAAAAAACAACGTGTGAATTGACCGAGACGACTGGCAAAAGATACCGGTGCCGCGTCGTCGGAAACACGCGTTCGGGTTGGCGAGAGGGCCTCATTAAGGTCGGCACGAGAGAGGAGGATGGGCCAACAAGACCACGCGCCCGGCCGCCTTTGTGACATGCACACACCGCACCAGGTACTAAATCAAGGTTGGGGA